CACACCTGAGTTTTTACTGTCAGTCACAAATGTGCCTTGTGGGTGCTGCTTGCTTTGGAGGAAACCAATGCTATTTTGAACAGTCACTCTGTGCCAGCCCAGCGTTGTATAAATATGTAGCAATCACACAACACCGTCAGACTCTGGGACACAGTTGTGTTGCGTTGGCTACAGCTGGTGGGAGCTGTAGTCCCGGTTAGCAAAGACTGCTGTATCAGCAGTTGTGGTGCTGAGGACTTCGGCGCTGCCACCAGTGGGGAAATTTGGACAGAATTGCTTAAACAAATAGCCATTATGTGCGACTCTTGTGGGAAAGGCAAATGTTATGTGAGGGATCATTAGGAAAGGAACTGAGAACAAAACTGTCAATATCATCATGCCACTATACAAATTCAGGCTTAGAATACTGCCAGGTACAATTCTTGTCACCTCCCTCAAAAAGCGGTGTTGCAGAGCCAAAAGAGGTTCAGAAAAGAGCAGGTAAAAATGATCCGAGGGGATGGAGCAACTCCCCTGTGAGGAAACATTTGGAGCTGTTGGGTTTAGAGAAAATGAGGATAGGAGAGGACTTGATAGAGGTGTGCAAGAGATAGCTCGGTGTGGAGAAAGTGGATAGAGAATAGTTATTCTCCCTCTCTCCTAACACTTGAACTCATGCACATCTGATGATGACCCCCAAGGGTCATCTAGTCCAACCCCCTGCGATGCAGGAATCTCAGCTAAAGTACCCATGACAGATGGCCATTCAACCTCTGCTTCAAAACCTTGAAGGATGGAGAAGAGTTTGGATTTGATATCCTGCTTTATCACTTCCCAAAGGAGTCTCAAAGCGGCTAACAAGCTCCTTTCCCTTCCTCCCCCACAACAAACACTCTGTGAGGTGAGTGGGGCTGAGAGACTTCAGAGAAGTGTGACTGGCCCAAGGTCACCCAGCAGCTGCATGTGGAGGAGCAGGGAAGCGAACACAGTTCACCAGATTATGAGTGCACTGCTCTTAACCACTACACCGATTCTGGGATAGTTCACAACCACACAAAGGAATCCAGTCCACTGCCAAACAGCTCTTACCGTCAGAAAGTTTTTCCATATGTTTAGTTGGGATCTCCTTTCTTTTAACTTGAAGGCACTGGTTTGAATCCTACACTCCAGAGCAGGAGAAAACAAGCATGTTCCCTCTTCTGTGTGACAGCCCTTGAGATAGTTGAAGGTGGCTATTATATCTCCTCCCAGTCTATACTTTTCCAGGCTAAACATACCCAGCATACAACGTTGGAAGATTCAGTACAGACGGAAGAAACAACTTCACACTGCAGTGGGCAGTGGGATTTCCTCTCACAAGAGGTAGCGATGGCCACCCATTTGGATGGCTTAAAAAATGGGTTAGACAAATTCGCAAAAGGATAAATCAGTGCCACTAGTGACTGTGGCTATTCTCCTTCCACTTTCAGAGCCGGGATGCCTCCAAATGCCCTTTGCTGGAAATTGCAAATACAAGAGGGCTGTTGCAAATATGAGAGTGTCGTTTCTGCTTGCAGGTTTCGCACAGGTGTCAGGTTGGCCACTGGACAAGATGGACCTTTGGCCTGATCCAGAGGCTCTTCTGCTCCTATGTAAGGCTATGGCAGCTTGCTGTTTTGCAGTTCTGCCCTACATTTATTGACTGTTAACAGATCTGTTGGGTGCCATATGTATTGTGAATTCTTTCTGCAGCTCTTTGCTTAACAGTGAAAAAGCTTTTTATTTAATTGCGAGATCTGACAATCCAAACAAGAGTTTCAATGTCATGCTGATCCTTTTCCTGCCTTCTGCCTCATATAAATCATCAGTATTATGCAGTTCAGTTTGTGGATGCTTTTTAAACAATGTACATGGCTAAACAAGCTGCATTAATAATGAGGCTGCTTTAGATTAAAAAAAATATGTCAGGATTGGGGAAAAGAATCTAAGCTCTCTCTTTGTCCATGGTTTGAAGCGAGTTTGCAAACCATGGCTTAGAGGTTTGAGCTAACTTCAGAAACCTGATTTTGAAGTCACAGGAAACTATGGTCACAGCAAACAGGAAATAGAGGGAGGAATTTGAGTGAGAGGACAGAGGTAAAGGATGAATGCAATTCTCCAAACCAGTGGCGTAGCGTGGGGGGTGCAGGGGGGGCCGGCCGCACCGGGCGCAACATCTGGGGGCGGCGCGCTCGCACTCGCAGCTCTCTGCCCCCTGCTAAAATCCACGGGTTAGGGGGCGCAAATTACTTGCCTTGCCCCGGGTGCTGACAACCCACGCTACGCCACTGCTCCAAACAATGGTCTTTAGAAGAGCCTCTGAAGTGAATCATAGAGGGAGAGAGCAAGAACAGAATAAAGAATGTGTATTAATACCAGAAGCCTGCATAACAGAGGTCATATGCTTTAGTAAGTCCCCTGAGTGCTAGCATTGTCACTGTAGCAACCTGTAGACACTGCCCTATGAAGCACAGGCATGCCTTATTTGACCTTTCCATGGCCCTTGTGCATCTTCATCCCCAACCAGGGACAGCAATAACCAATGATACCTTTTTGCATGCAGTTACTGTTGCCTGCTTCACACTAAACGGCATCCCTCAGTGCTCATGCACTGTGACATGTGAGGAAATAAGCATCATCCTTTGTCACAGGCTTTGTCTCATCAGTGCTTATTTGTCCCTAGATCCTGCAGCTAGAATAGCACAGCTCACATAAATCATAAATCATTGTAGAGTTGGAAGAGACCCCGAGGGTCATCTAGTCCAACCCCCTGCAATGCAGGAATCTCAGCTAAAGCATCCATGACAGATGGCCATCCAATCTTTGCTTAAAAACTTCCAAGGAAGGAGAGTTTGCAACCTCCTGTAGCAGACCGTTCCATTGTCGAACGGTCAGAAAGTACTCCCTGATGTTTAGTCGGAATCTCCTTTCTTGTAACTTGAAGCCAACAAATTCACCTAAACCCTGCTCACACAGCTTCTGTGGCTAGGAAAGTGATGTGAAAATGCACCAAAAGGTGTGTCGTTGAGCTAACGGTTAACAGGAAGACATATAACCACCTAGCAGAATAAAAGATCAATAAAAAATAGACATTGTCTCACCTCCGCAGAAGCATTGTGCAAGTCAGGTCGAATGCTTCAAAAGCAGGTCATCTGAGGGAGCCCAGAGTGAGGTTAATAAAGGCTATTGCCCTTCCTCATCCTCATCCGCCTTGCCTTTTTGTCTGGAATGGGTAACTTCATGATTAGCTTTTGCCTACAAATTACAAGACCTGAGTTCAAATCCTTTTTCAGCCATGAGGCTCACAGGGCTGGTGTTGTGTGAATAAAAGGAATGTGAGTCACATTTACATCAGTCTGAGCTCCTTGAAGGGGAAGGATGAGCTATCAGAGAAATAAATGTATTATTTTAAATCATCCCTATTGCGCACTTGCTGTTGCCTGATTCTATACTAATGTGCTTTGAAGGAAGTTTAGCTGGCTTAATGGGATGTGCTCCTTGCAGCACATGGCAAGAAGCACAACTGACCTCAGTGGGATTTATTTTCTAGTAAACATGAAGAGAACCAGGCTGCACATCCCATAAGGGGTGGGTACACATGTACCAGCAGGTACCTGAGCCTGCCCTCCAGTGGGTTGGACTAGATGACCCTCACAGTCCCTTCCAGCTCTACAGTTCTATGATTCTAGGCTGCATCAACAGAAGTCAAGGGAAATAACAGACCATTGGTCAGGCCACAACTGGAGTACTGTGTCCAGTTCTGTGCACCACAATTTAAAAAGGATATTGACAAGCTGGAACGTGTGTAGAGGAGGGTGACCAGGATAATCAAGGGTGTGGAAACCAAGCCTTATGAGGAATGGTTGAGGGAGCTGGGCATGTTTAGCCTGGGAAAAAAGGAGATCCAGAATTGATATGATAGCCATGTCAAATACCTCGGGTTAAGAACTTAATTCGTTCCGGAGGTCCATTCTTAACCTGAAACTGTTCTTAACCTGAGGTACCACTTTAGCTAATGGGGCCTCCCGCTGCTGCCGCGCCGCCGGAACACAATTTCTGTTCCCATCCTGAAGCAAAGTTCTTAACCTGAGGTACTATTTCTGGGTTAGCTGAGTCTGTAACCTGAAGCGTCTGTAACCTGAGCTACCACTGTAGCTAAACAGGGAAGATGGGGAGCAAGTTTGTTTTCTCCTGCTCCGGAGGCCAGGATCCCAACCAATGGATTCAAGTTACAAGTGGGAAGAATTATATACATAAATTCAATAAACAACAACAAGAGGGAAGATTCCAAGTCAATCTCGGGAAGAACTTTCTGACAGTAAAGCTCCGAAGGTGATGGACTCTCCTCCCTTGGAGATGCCTCAGCAGAAGTCGCCTGGCCACCTGTCGTGTACAATCTGGCTGAGATTCCTGCCTCGAAAGAGGGTTGGACTAGATGACCCTCGGGACCCCTCTAACTCTACAAGTTTGCAACAGCAAGAAAAGCGTGATGCAAACTGGAGAAAGACAAGCGGGATCCAGGCAGCAGAAAGGCGAGCGGGATCCAGAATGGGATCCACAGCGGCGGAGGCGGCAGCAGCAGCCGTGGGCTCGTCCTCCCGCCCTCCGCTTTGGCGGGGGCTCCTCCGGCAGCGCGGCGTGGGGGCGCACATGGTTCCCCTTCCACTACTACGGCGGCACATGCTTCTTCCGCGCCAGGCGCCCGGGCTCCTCCTCCTCCTCCCCGCTCCTTCGGCGGCTCCACGCGTTACGCGCCCGCTCACTCCCCGCTCGGCGCTCGGCCGCTCGGCACGCCTCGCCCGGCGGACGCGGGGCAGCAGTTTTCCCGCCCGTAGAGAGAGCTATCCCTAACTTGCAGCGGGGCGTGTGCGTGTGTGTGTGGAGGAGAAGACGAGGAGGAGGGCAGAGGAGGAGGAGGAGGAGGAAGGCGGGGGAGGCGGGCAGCCTTTTTGGGGGAGGCGGCGAGGAGCTCCCCCACTTCCGAATAAGACCCGCGCCGCGCCGCCGGAGGAGAGTTCCTTCGCCGGGCAGGGATGGCCAAGCCGGAGCACGTGAAATAAACAAGCGGCTCCCGGAGCTCTCGCCGCCTCCCCAGACGGAGGCTTTTCCGTCCGAGAGGCCAACATGATTCCGCCCAGCGACGCGACACAAGTCAGCCCGGAGGACGTGGAGAAGGACCGCGACCCGGAGAGCCCCGAGCAGCCGCCTTCGCCTGCCTCCACCACCAGCCAGGAATCCAAGGTCGGTCCCGCTCGCTCCATCCGTGCATCCCTATTCGGAGAGGGGATCGATCTCTCTCCATGGCCAGGCGCGCTTACGTGCCCGTCCTCCTTTTGCGCCTGCAAAAATGTCTTTGAGGTGGGATCTCGCCATTCACCTGGCGGAGCTGGGAAAGAACGGGGGGCGGGGGGGGCACCTGGCTGGGTTTAGGATTAGTTTGCTTATTGCATTTATTTTCTGGAGGGAGAGGTTTCAAAGCACTCTGTCAGACCATTCCTCTGTTTGGCACTCCGGTTGCTCTGGCATCACGTGTTGATCCTCATGAAATAGACTGTGACAGATTTATTATAGGAAAGTTGCCTGTGTGTGTGTATGTTAAAAAATGTCTTTCCAGGAACTTTGCCATTCAGCTGATAAATAGGTCAGTAGCTGAAGTCTAGCTGAAGAGCTGCTATTGTAGGGGAAGAACTGCCATCCATAATAATAATAATAATTTTATTGTCTGGTACCCCGCCCATCTGAGTGGGTTGCCCCAGCCACTCTGGGCGGCTTCCAACATATATAAAGAGCATGATAAACGGGACCACCCCCCTCTTGCCTCCCCAAAAATCATATTTTATTGGCCTGGTTTGGCTTACCTGATTTAGGAAAATGATGCTTCTGTTCTGCATTCCATCCCTCAAAATTAAGTGATATAATAGGTAAGAAGTTTCGGAGTGGATTACCTGAATTAGAAACAAAGATCTGTAAGTGAGCAGAAGGAAGAGCAGATGAGCAGAACAACGGTGCTCTTCTGTTTAACGGGAGCATGACGTAAGAGGCAGGAGTTACCTAAAACAACTTGTTAGCTATTCGTGTTGCTGCTGATAAACACAACTTCTCATAGACCTTGTGCCCTGGTATTTAACAGAAGACCAACCCGCACATTTGCCACAGCGGATTTTAGTGATGTGATGTGCCACAATTCTTTGGCACGCCCTTTGAAAAGGATTGCAGCATCTTCCAAAATGAGCACCTTGCCATTTTACAGTCACCCCCTCCTGTTACAAGTGGAATAGATTTGGAATGCTCCTCCAGAATAGTATTACTATTAGTAGGGTAAAATGGATAATGGTCGCTGTAGCCACCTTGACAGGCCTTGAGCATCCTCGTGGAAGTTGATATGATCCTAACTGGCACTTCAAAGGTGGTGCTCAGCAGGATGGAAGTTTGTGCTTTGAATGAGGAGGTCATGTGGACAAATGGACTTGCCACCATGCTGTCAAAGAGGGATTGTTCATTGCTTGTGGCTACAGCACCGTACAGTCTTGATTATAGCTATTGATGTGTTACTTCCTTCCAAATCTATGGGAGATATATATGAGTCAGTGGCAACTGATGACGGGATTGCAGCCTAAACTCAGGAAATATAAATAGGGTTTCATTTTCTCCTTACCTTTTATAGTAACTAACTATGACAGGCATGTCCAAAGTCCGTTTCGTGGGCCTAATTTGGCCCGCCGGTCAATTTAATCTGGCCCCTGTGGCAGTTTTTTTAAGGTAAAATCCTTAAAAAACCTCAACAACTTCAATCCTAAAAGAAGCTCAACAATTTTGGGGTAAAATAATTAAAAAGCTCAGAACTTCAAGAACTTCAATCCTAAAAAAAGGTCAACAACTTGGTCCAACTTGGTCAGCCCCCGCGGCCCTTCACTTCATCAAATCTGGCCCTCTTTGATAAAGTTTGGACACCGCTGAACTATGATTTGATGTGGAGGGGTGTATGCACGTTGGGCACAAAGCAAAATATTTTAGATCATAGAATCATAGGATTGTAGAGTTGGAAAGGACCCTGAGGATCATCTAGCTCAACCCGCTGCAATGCGGGAATATGCAGCTGTCCCATACAGGGATCGAACCTTGGCATTATCAGAACCACACTCTAACCAACTGAGCTATCCAGGAAATATTGTGTATGAATATATTTCACACAATGCAGAGTTCATTGTGTGTACCCACCTCTCAAAATACACACGTGGAGTGTTAAAACATAAATGTAAGTACCAGTGTGTTGTTGGTCCTTCAGGCTTTGATGCAAGGTCTCAAATGCTAGTAATTTTGCTTTCAGACAGACACAATAGTTCTTAAAAACTCAAAAGGGCTTTTAAACATCAGGTATTGTTTAGTAACGTATTTGTGGAGTACTTTTGGTGTTTTCTTCTAATGAAGAATGTAAAATGTACTACTAGTTTTGTTGTGGTATAACAATGTGATGCCAGTATTCCAACTAAGTTTGCTAATATTCATACAACAGTCGAAAACAAAATTAGGAGGAGTGAAATAATCTCTTTCCAATTTCAGATTTGCATTTGGAAAGACACATTTTAAAGATCTGTATTCTTATTTGGTCAGTTTTTTCATTTAGGCAAAATTAAAATGTTGGCTCCACAAATAATCAACAGTTTGAAACTAATCACCATTGAAACCAATTTCAGTCAGTGTTACACCCTCCAATGTTAAATCTGGAAAGAAATGATAAACTACATGGGGCATTCTGGAGTTTGTTTCTTATCAGGTGGGAAACCATGGCCTTTCTGAAATATCCATACTAGTTTTCCTTTTGGTAATTGGCTCAAACAAACACATGTTGGGGTTGTACTATTAGTACACATCTGCAGCCATTGATGGCGAAGTTTTATATATGTTCATTTTATTAAAAATATTAAAGGGTGGCAGCCAGTCCCAGACTGGTGTCCTTTGATGTTATATCAATCAATCAATTTATTACGGTCATAGACTAGACCAGGCAGCCGGCACGCATGCCCCTTTTCACAGGAGAAGGCAAGCATGTTGCAAACGCTTGCACTCCACTCTGGCCCCCTGCGCCTTTGGGCGGCCCCCTTGCTCCTCACCTGCAGAGCCTTTGATGTTATACAGCACAACAGGGGAAGGTTTCAAGATAAGGGGAAAGGGAAAATGTGTCCTTTTTCTTCATCCATCCTGAAACTTTATCCACGACACTGTGAATCCCAGAATGCTCTCCAATGGCCCCTGTTCTATCTTGGCCAGGGGCATTTGTGTTAGAGGGTTGGAGAACAGAAACATGCCCCCCCCCCCCAAAAAAGTGTTTCAGATCCCTGCTGGTTACTGCTCAATCTGAAATTGCTTTATACTCCCGCTTTGTAGATAAATAATTAGGGAAGGGAAGAACAGTACACTGCTCCCTCTTCCCTACCCACAAGTGTAACAGGCAGATATCATAACTGGATGTTTTGTTTCCATGGGTGCAACACTCATGTGGCAGCTTTCGTTTCTGGAGTACAGATCCCAGGTTTAAGGGCAAAGTCAGGCAGTTTTTATAGTGGTGCACTTTGTAAACACAGCACTAAGGCGGCGGCTTTTGCAATTCCGTGGCTGCCTTTTGGCCTTAACTCTGAGACCTGCGCTCCAGGGCGGCTGCTCCTACAGGTCCTTTACATGTGTGGTCCTAGCACTGTTTCATGGAAACATGCGAAAGCAACTGTTCTTGCAGATCTTACTTCCTTCTGGCCTTAGAAAGAAGGCCGGGAGAGAGCCAAGAACACAGTGGGCACTTTTTCACTTTCTGAGAAAAGTTCTTTGAAATAAATGAGGCTTATTGCCAAGTACCTGTCATTTGAGAAGGGATTGCAAGTGATCCTTGGTGCAATTATTTTCAAATTACTGTTTAATGGATAGTTGCAATCGGACACTTTTTCATAACTCTTCCCTCACTCCTGCCCCATTCAGCCTACATCATTTATAATTAGATTTTCTGGATGTCTTTTGCGGGATCTAATCCCTCGCGAAGTCTGTGGACTTTCACTGTTGCAGAGATTTGATCCTGGCTTAGTCAGGTATTCTAACCACTATACCATGCATAAGTAATGTGTGGCCCTCCAGATATGGTAGAACTACAACTATCAAACCTGACCATTGGTCATGCTGACTGGGGCTGATGGGAATTGAAGACCAACACATCTGCAGGGCCACAGATTCCCCGTCCCTGCACTAAAAGGTAAAGGGTAAAGGACCCCTGGACAGTTAAGTCCAGCCAAAGGCAACTATGGGGTGCAGCGTTCATCTCGCTTTCGGGCCAAGGGAGCCAGCATTTGTCCATAGACAGCTTTCTGGGTCATGTGGCCAGCATGATTAAACCACTTCTGGCGCACCAGAACACCATGACGGAAACCAGAACACACGGAAATGCCGTTTACCTTCCTGCCGCAGTGGTACCTATTTATCTACTTGCACTTGCGTGCTTTCAAACTGCTAGGTTGGCAGAAGCTGGGACAGAGCAGCAGGAGCTCACCGCATCACACAGATTAGAACCACTGCCCTTTCAATCGGCAAGCCCAAAAGGCTCAGTGGTTTAGACCTCTATCCCTCCACTAAACAGAATGCAAATCAGCAGAATCACTGACTTGTAGAATTGTGGAGTTGGAAGGGAGTTGCGAGGATCATTTAGTGCAACCCCCTGCAATGCTTTTGCCCAACGTGGGATTCAAATCCATGAGCCTGAGATTAGGAGTCTCAGGCTCTACCAACTTAGCTACCAAGTTTTTCACCAGATGAATCACGTCCAGCTGCAGGTAGAAGGTTTTAAGGTGGGTTAATACATCGATCCATTCAAACTCAAAGAGCATGTTGGCAAGAAACATAAACTGGTCTCTCCTTTGCATTCCAGTTTTATTTTGTATAGTAAGATTTCCCCACCCCCTTCCAAACATGCCCTCTCCGACTGTCAGGCTGCAGTCGAGATGAAGTGTTACCGTGTGATGCTGCTGGTTGTGAGAAATGGCTGTGAGTTACAGATCAGCTTGAACTGGGGTGGGAGGTGGGACTGAGTTGTGCTAATTGCACCAATCTGTTTAAAACTCGTTTTGATACTGTATTTTTAAATTGCTGTAACTCACCCTAGTGAGTTTGGCCGCTACACTCTAGAAGTCTGCAAAGCTGAAGAGCCCAAGGCAGGGGCTGATGGGAAACAAAGCAAGCTGGGGAGAATCGATGTGGCTTGCTTGCTCATCTGCAAGTTGTCTAAAACAAACCGTGGCTTAGGGTTACTTGCAAATGAAACCTATTGACGTTTGTTTTAAAACACTTGCAGCCTGCCTAGTTAACCTTGATCCTTTAAGGAAGCAATCCTAACCACACATACTTGGTCATGAATTCTCCATCACCCTAAGCAAATGTGTCTTGGATTTAGGTATGATTCTCCCAAAAATTACAGGCCAGATTCTACTGCCCTTATGTGCTGACATCTGATTAGCATTTCACACAACACGCCACCTGCTTCATTCTGAGTGCATTTATTAGTATTGACTCCAGTCCATAAAACTGCCAAGGGTCACACAACTTGATCTGCCTTAATTGGTTGAATGAAGTCTAACTTGCACTTCAGTGGAACAAGCAGTAACAGACACCCCTGAGGTTGCATGGTTGTACTCTGTTTACTATCACATCGTACCTTACTGCTGTATGTGATATATACCTGGCACACAAAACCTAAACCTAAAAAGCTATGGTTTGCAGAAGCTAGGGAGGTGTTTGCCAATAGACACTTACTATATTAGGACTTGGTCAGCAGCCTTCACCACTGCAACTGTTGCATTGTAGCATAAAACCTGATCCTATGGAGACAACATATTAGGCCATTAATATATCTGATCCCATTGCTAGCAACAATCCTGAATTATTTCTTTTAATTACTTTCATCTATTTGTTTGTCTGCCTGTCTGCTTCAGCTTATTATATAGGTGGTGGACTGGTCTTATCTATGTTCTATTGTATATAGGCATTTCTGCTATTTGACACGAATGCTTAACCTTTATAATATACAGTACTTGGGATATTTTTGTTGAGTTACTATTTGAAGTGCAGTGTTGATCTTGGATAATATTTGCTTGCTGCTTGCTCGTTCCCTTTTTTAGTTTTCGCATGATAGTTTATTACATGATAGATTATAGATTTTACGGCTTGGTTTTGTGATTCTTCTATATATTCTTCTATACATACAGTCCATGCTTTGGTAGAGTTTGATGGGTCCAATTTGTATGTTTACCAATATTCTTAGGGATGGAGCAAATCCTGACTTCTGGAAGAGTTTTCAACTTTCCTCTTTCAGGAGAGAGTGGCCAGTTAATGCTTTCTCCTATAACTTCTCATTCAAATCTTTCTACTTGTCTCTTCTGACTCCTGTCTCTTAAGCTTCAATTTAAAAATTATAACCCAAGGAATCATAGAAATTTATCTTGGCATTGTAATTATTGGAATATAATGATCTGTTCACAATTGCATCAGAGTTTTAGAGCGGTTTCTGTAGAATCCTACCACATTCATGTTAAATTTATCAGTGCTTTACTATGATTCAGTCATCCTTTACTATGAGAAGGGAAAGGGGTATTTTATTCTAAGTGCAATCATACTAGGCTCCCTGTCTGTTGTGGTATCTGTCTGTCTTGAGAGACAATGGACCTCCAGGGTGAAGTCAAACCGCTGCTTTAGCAGCACAGAAGTGATCTCCCCAGGGCACAATCCTGGGCAGAGGGCATGGAAGTTCTGGGCTCTCCAGACAACAAGGCTCCACTCTCAACCTCACTGATGTCGTCCAAAGGAAAGCAGAGCAATACGTTTAGCACCAGCTACAGGAGTTGCCAGAAGGAGGTGTACAAAGCACCATCCAACCGTCTTAGGGACTGCACTCTGGATTTACTCCCTAGCCTTTTCTTCTCTCAAAGATGACACACAAGGCAGGACCTGACTTCCTTCTCCTTGATGAGCTACCTTCTCAGGTTGATGAGCCCCATTTGCCCTCACTTCTCTCTTTAACACATTCAGAAACCACCTTCTTGACCATTGGACCCACTCTTGGTCTTGTCCACTCCATCTGCCAGAGCCTGTCTTCACATGCAGGGGAAGTCTGTAACTCACGGAGGGTTTGAGACCCATTAACCACCTTCACATGGTTTAGCTGGCCAGTCAAAGCTGTTCCCGAGGTGTAGCCGCTGTTGCATGCTGACAAGCAGAGGGCCTTCTTGGTTGTGGCACCCACCCTGTGGAACACCCTCCCATCAGATGTCAAGGAAATAAACAACTATCTGACTTTTAGAAGAAGACACCTGAAGGCAACCCTGTTTAGGGAAGTTTTTAGTGTCTGATGTTTTATTGTATTTTTAATATTTTGTTGGAAGCCATCCAGAGCGGCTGGGGAAACCCAGCCAGATGGGCAGGGTATACATAATAAATTATTATTACAGTGGTACCTTGGGTTACATACACTTCAGGTTACATACGCTTCAGGTTACAGACTCCGCTAACCCAGAAATAGTACCTCAGGTTAAGAACTTTGCTTCAGGATGAGAACAGAAATCACGCGCTGGCAGCAGTGGGAGGCCCCATTAGCTAAAGTGGTGCTTCAGGTTAAGAAGAGTTTCAGGTTAAGAACGGACCTCCGGAACAAATTAAGTACTTAACCCAAGGTACCACTGTATTATTGACAGCTTCTGGGAGCTACAGGTGAGAGTTGAGTGCAGAGTCTTTAGAAAAATTCTAATCAAACTCTAACCAAGTGTTCTGTTCCCAGCTTCTAATATGGTGATAGGGAGACTCCAGTGACCCTCAGGATATTGCTGGACTCCAGTTCCCATCAGCCCCAGTCATTGTGGCCAAAGGCCAGAGATTATGGGAGTTGGAGTCCAGCAACATCTGGAAGGTTGCAGATTCCTTGCTTATGTTTTAATGCATCTCATATTGCATAAAATCAGGGTCTCCTTTCACAGCATGTGCCTCTTCCTACCCCCTTGTGCAAAATCCTAAAGCTGGCTGCTGTGAACATTTGTGCACTACAGCGTGTTCTGGTTTTTGTTATTTGCAAAGCAATAAAAGTGTCTGAGCTCACTTGACTAGGTCCAATTCAAAAAAAAGCATTGGAATGCCCTATGACTTCACTGCACCCTATATAACACCCACATAGCTCCCTTGGCAGGACACTTTCAGAGAGCAACTCCTGGAACGAGGGTTCAAGAATCATGCACTGACAGCAGCTCACTGCATACAGCCCTTTGGGAAGGACCACAGCTCAGTGGTAGAGCATCACTTTCCACACAGAATGCCCCATGTTCAGTCCCTGGAATCTCCAGGTAGGGATGGGTGAGACCCCTGGGCAGGACTACCCCTGATGTCATACTGATGCCAGGAGATTGGCAGCTGTCAAAGGTTTGTGCAAAGCTTCCTAAAGCCCTATGCTCAGCACTTCCCAAGTGCAGCACTTCTGAAGGGCCTGGTCATCAGCTGCATGTCGAGCTCTTGGGAAGCAGAGCGCAAGAGGCTCTGCAGGCACCACTAGCCAGCAGGACCTGCAAACCTGCTTTCAGTTGAGCCCCAGCCTTACCTACCCCACAAGTGGGTGTGCAAAGCAAGCAGGTGGGGCTTTGCTGAAACAACCTTGCAGGCCAAATGGAGAGGTCTGGCAGGCAAAATTTGGCCCACGGGCTGGAAGTTGCCCACCCTTGTGTTGGAGCAATTGAATTCAGACAAGGTGCAGTATTCACATATAAACAAAGGGGGTTGGGGAGACATGGGAGGGAGTCACAGCCTTTACCCTTCATAGCCCTTGCGCTGACCCATTACAAAGGGAGGGTCACTAATGTCTGTTCAGTTTCCTTAAACCTCAGAGGAAGTGCCAGGTCAACACAATCCTGTTCCTGCCAGCAAGCATGCGGATTTCTAAAGGATGAGCTGTTCCTGAGCCAAAGGGGATTCCATGAGAAAGCAGCTATAACTTAGCAGCTCAGCACAGTTCTAATGAAAGTATGAGACAGGTTCATTTACAGCCTATTGCAAACACTGACTTTCCCTAGACTGCTATGCATTTGTAGGCACACCCACCCACAAACTCATACCCCCATACGCTTAATGGATAGTAAATACATCCTAATAAAATTAAGTTTCCAATATAGATATGCAGAGAAGACCCAGGTCTTGAGGTAGATTATCCGGCTTGCAATCCTATTGAAGCTAATTGGTTTTAAGTCATGGTGTGTTTGACCGATAGAGTTGCATGGAGATTTCCCCTGCATAATAGAATTAATACCTTTAGAGTCTCTATTGGTGACGGATAGGTTACTAGCTACTGAATATTTTAAAAGGGCAAGGAAATGGCATGCAGACTATGTTCATCCATCCTTCAGTCTGCTGAGTAAACATGCAAACTTCAGTTTCAAGGAGGGAAACTCTTTTAAAAATATTCCCAAAGAGGATTTGAAAACAGCCAGCTCTTCCAGAGCTGTTTTCCATACGTCTGCATAAAATGGTGAGTACACATTGTGCATAAATGAGACTTCTTATACAGAGGAGGGGGTGAATTAGATACTAAACTGGACATACACACTGTGAACTTTTCAAGGTGTATCCATTCACCGAGCAAGGAAGAGCTGGTGTTTATCTATGAATAACTGATTTTAAACTTCTGTCTTGATTGAGGTACCAGCGTGTAATGTATCTCCCCCTCTTTACTTGTACATATTGCCTAGATTTGAATATTGTCTCACTAGCGAATGTTTCCATTTTATTTTATTTAAATATATTTTCATTGATTACCAATATATAACAACAATTACAAGAAATAGATACAAAAGCAAAATCCCAACTAACCCGCCTCCAGGACAGATAAATCTTGTTAAGTTTGCCAAAGTTCAATCTGTGGTTATACATCTTTGCATTAATCAGTTCTTAGTGCATTTCCCCATTCGTTTCGTCACTTGACAAAGGTTGTTTTTTTTTTTTAAAAGAGAGTAGAAGTGTTGCACCAAAATACTTTAATCTACTTTAATGCACAAAGCCGAATTTTCAATATGCAATTGAATCCTTCCTACAAAATGCTGCGGAAAGCCCATGTTTATAGGCTTCACACCTCTACCAAATCCTGGTAGCAGCAGGGCAAAGCTGTTGCCTTCATGGCTTTTTTTGTCAGCTTCCTAGAGGCTGACGGCTGTTTGCAGCAAAATGTTGGATTAGATGAATGGGTACCCGCAGGAGGGGAAGCAAGAGGAGGCAACCAGTGAACCCCCAGATGAACCATTATCACCAGATTCCCAGCTTTCTTACAAAATAAAAGTTTCTAGCATTTGTAGAACCTGAGATATGATGGGGAGGGTGTACAGACACTATTCTTCTCAATTTTGTGAGAAATCAGCCTGCTCCCCCTAGGTTCCCCATCCTTGTATTAGAAACTCTAGTGCAGTAAAGCAAGTACAGTGGTACCTCAGGTTAAGAACTTAATTCGTTCTGGAGGTCTGTTGTTAACCTGGAACTGTTCTTAACCTGAGGTACCACTTTAGCTAATGGGGCCTCCCGCTGCTGCCGCACGATTTCTGTTCTCATCCTGAAGCAAAGTTCTTAACCCGAGGTGCTATTTCTGGGTTAGCGGAGTCTGTAACCTGAAGTGTTTGTAACCTGAGGTACCACTGTACCTATTTTCACACAGGTGAACGTCCATTGGCAAGCCAAGCATTAATACAACGTGAGGGCACCAGATGTGCCGCGATACAAAATTTGTATCAATCATTCTCAAAGGGTTACTGTGGCTCAGATATTAGGATGCCCCTCAGTGGTGCAGATACATAATTTTAAACTCTGGACTACATGGTCTTATGCTCCTCCACTCTTGCACGCCCAAACACTCTCTCTCTCTCTCTCTCTCTCACTCTCTCTCTCTCTCTCTCTCACACACACACACACACACACACAGTGTGCTTGCGGTTGCATGCTCCTAGATAGCAATTTGAGGTCCATTTTTCATGACTGAACACCATTCCCCCTATATCTTGTGTTATACTCTGCAGCAGAAACCTATGCTGGATTCTCCACCATAAGACAGCAGAACCCCAAAGCTCTTGGTGCCCATTTTAATTTCTTTGGCATCTGCTGCCAAATTCTCAGGGATCTTGAGGGCTATAGGAAATTCCTTGAGTTGAATCAGGTCCCCAGGCCAGGGTTTAGTCACCTCCCGTACTGCTTTACAAAACTGTTTCTAAGTTCAAAGCCATTGGGTTCCATTGCAGTTGCCCCACTTGCCATCTTAAAGCAGAGCTATGCCAGAATTTCTCAGAATAAAATTTTGGGTAGGGGTAGGATTAAGTTATTCTGACTATTGAAGTCCATTTTTGCTCACCCTTAGGATAGGTTGTGAATTTTAGCTATGACATGTTAAACCAGGGGTGTGGGGAGCATGCATGTGAGCTGTTGATGATGTTCTGCACACTCTTTTGAATGTGCTTAGAAACAGCCCTAATGTTAGGAAATCTTGATAAACAAAGATGCTCTCTCATGGGGAGGTTTCAAGATGTTTCCGCTTCCAAAGTGTCACTATTTTGTGGGTGAGGGTCAATCACATATCTGCTAATTCTGGTTGTGCAAGTGGTTCTGATGCTCTTGTGCAGTAAAGCCACCCCCCCCCCAAAAAAGGACATTTTGTGGTAAGGGAAATGATAGAGAAAGACACTGGATGGTGTGGGATGCAGTTCCTTGATACAAACAAATCAGAATGAAAGCTGAATAAACTGCAGACACTGGATAATGCCCCTCAAACATTGTACAAACGGATCTGAATGAATGCTCAATAAACAGTGGGTGTTCTATAGCATCTCTGCAAACTCTGTGGATGAATGCCCAATACACAGGTTGTAAGTGCATTCAGTTGAATGCACATTAAAATCCCCTTCTGGTTACGCCTGTTACGTTAATTGCCCAAACATCTGAAGAGCAGCTGCTGCACCTAGGGATGTTGGGGGCAGGGCTTGGTCCCCCCCCCAGTTTAACCCTCTGTGTGTTCATGTGAACACCTGCGCACAACTTTTGTCTTAAAGAACCAAATTCTAGGCTTGTTTTCTCTTCACAAGGCTGAAAGCGCTTTGCATCTTTCTACTTTGAGTTCCTTGCACGTGCAATAAACAAACTTGACATTGAAGGCTTTCATAGAAAACTAGGGGTTTTCCACCTCTCCTCTCTTGCCATAAACCTGGTCTGTATGCTTGATAAGGTTGACTTCAGTGAAATTCAGATGGGTAAGGATTTGAATAGTTACCCAAGGAACAGGTAGCGATTTGAAAAAGACTTGGGATAGGTGGAGCAGGAGGCGTCCTTCCTGCAGTCTGGAATTCCCATGGCATTTAAACAAACCTAATGTGAGGTTGTTGATGCAAATTAGCAATCTTTCATGCAACCTTGTTATCCCTCGTCATGTAAACAAGCTCTAAAGTAGCTGTTTTATTAACTACTGCCATCAGGTTATTCCACCATCCTCAGGAGCTTTTGAGGCACAGTTTGAATTCCTGAGTCAATCCTTTTATATATATATATATATAAAAAGGAGTGTCAGCGGCAGCTCAGGAGATATCCTTTGCTTGATGTAGATAAGCTTTTAAATGGCATTGGGAAATGGAGCATTATTCATACCTAACATGCACACTGCTTTATTAATGAGGCCCGTTTCAGTAAAGTCAACCATTCTGAATGGAAAGCAAAATACTGCTGACCCGGTGCACATGCCAATTAGGCACAGACTTCACGGGAGTAAAATGCTCGACTCTGGCTGACGTACGCTTTACGGCTATTTTTTACATAAAAATAGGAGAACAATCCTTTTGTGCATTGAGGGGTGGGGTGGGGTGGCTTTGTTATGATAAAGCAAGCCGTAACCTCGGTCACAGCAAAATGATGGGGATGCTGTTGAAAATGGTTATGAATCTTATATGTTTGACTTTCACAGTTCTCCCCCTCCTCAATTAATCCACACAACAACCATGGGTGGGGATTTGAACCCTGGTCTCCCAGCTCCTAGTGCATGGGTAGGCAAACTAAGGCCCACGGGCCATATCCAGCCCAATCGCCTTCTGAATCCGGCCCGTGGACAGTCCGGGAATCAGCATGTTTTTACATGAGTAGAATGTGTCCTTTTATTTAAAATGCATCTCTGGGTTATTTGTGGGGCCTGCCTGGTGTTTTTATATGAGCAGAATGTGTGCTTTTATTTAAAATGCATTTCTGGGTTATTTGTGGGGCATAGGAATTCATTCATTTTTTTTCAAAATATAGTCCGGCCCACCACAATGTCTGAGGGACAGTGGACCGGCCCCCTGCTGAAAAAGTTTGCTGACCCCTGTACTAGTCTCACACTCTAACACTGCACCACGCAGGTCCAACAATCTGACTCAGTATAAAGCAGCTTGCTATGTACTTAATTAAAAGAGATCAAAGCAATGAAGATTTGGACACTGTTCTAAATACCTTCCTATGAAGATGGAGACCTAATTCATACATTACCAAAATGGCTTTCTTATGGGCTGGATCCTGTATCATTCAGGTAGTGTAAAGGGATCCCTGACCATTAGGTCCAGTCGTGGACGACTCTAGGGTTGTGGCGCTCATCTCGCTTTACTGGCCGAGGGAACTTCTGGGTCATGTGGCCAGCAGGACTAAGCCACTTCTGGCAGACCAGAGCAGCACACGGAAACACCGTTTATCTTCCTGCCGGAACGGTGCCTATTTATCTACTTGCACTTTGACGTGCTTTCGAACTGCTAGGTGGGCAGGAGCTGGGACCGAGCAATGGGAGCTCACCCCGTCCCGGGGATTCAAACCGCCAACCTTCTGATTGGCAAGCCCTAGGCTCTGTGGTTTAACCCACAGCACCACCCACGTCCCATTTGCACTATTAGTTGCCACTTAAAGCTGATGCTTAAAGCTGATACCATGAAGAATTGGTAAGTCACCCCTCACATGCATGTGACAGATACACCCAAACACAACGCAGCTTTCATTTTAAACTAGGTTAGAATTACATGGTCCTCATAGACAAAACAGTGACTCTAAAGTTCATTTGTTTATATTAATTAAATTTGTATACCATCCTTCCTCTGAAGTTCCCAGGGCGATTCACAACAGAAAAAAATACAAAATGAGAATACAAAATATATAATAAAACAGAAACAAACTGATAACCACACACACATTTAAAAAAGTCATAGAATGTTAATCAGGAGAATGCCTAACTGAATATAAATGTTTTCCCCTAATGAAGGCACCACGCAAGCCTCCCTGGGGAGAGCATTCCACAAATCAGGAGCCACCACAGAAAAAGCCTGTTCTCGTGTTGCCACCCTCCAGATCTCTCGTGGAAGAGGCACACAAAGAAGTGTTTACATAGGGTAACATAGTACCTACTGTTATGTGATCCCATTTATCAGTTGCCATGTATCTCATTAAACCTCTGTTTGTTTGGGCAGTGGTGATCTCGGGTTTTTCTACAGAGCTTTATAGAAAACAGGGATGAGGTTTGCTTGTACGTTTCCCTTCAGCCTTGTTGAAAAGTTTGAAAAAGTGGGCAGGAGGGGAGCTTTGAAACTAGCCAGACTGCCGGGTACTCTTGTGGGCTTTATGCTAAATCACAAAATAGTTTCACAGGACTTAACTGCTGTGCATGTTTTCACTAGCTCACTGCAATTAAGCTCAATTTTCAGTGTGGCATTTTGGTTTTTTTCCAAATGACAAGCATACCTAATTCCCTGGGACCCATGTAGCCAAGTTCTAATCCAGGCAGTGGCAAACTCAGCCCTCCAGATGTTTTGGGACTACAATTCCCATCATCCCTGACCACTGGTCCTGTTAGCTAGGGATGGGAGTTGTAGTCCCAAAACATCTGGAGGGCCGAGTTTGCCTGTGCCTGTTCTAATCTGTCTCTCTTGCCTCCTCACTCTGTAGTCTTTATTCTCTTCTTTTTCTCACGCAGTGGGCATGGATGGATCTTTTGCAGGAAACAAAATTCCAAGTTCATGTCTTGTCAAGTGTCACGGAGCCTATAAAGAAGATGGATAGCCCTTTTTTAAATAGGAGAGGGATGTTTTATATGTGATTCTAGGCCTGCAGAGAACTGCCAGGCACAGTGGATGCCAAAGACTTGGCTGTTCTTTCTTACTTTTTTAAAACTGAGTCACGTATTCAAGAAAAACAAATTGATGCTTCTGCCTTGCTATGAGCAAGGGGAAATCTATCTCTGCTAGATATTTGCTGCCCAGTACTTAATGTTTGACAAAGAAGCAGCTTTTCTTTCTTCAGTTGTAACCTTTCTTTATTTCCCAGACATTCATACTAACAAACCCTGAAACAATTATTTCTATTGTTTTTGTTGGTTGTTGCTTAGTACCAAATACTGAATAGATTAAGCAAGGGACAGGCACTAAAGCAGTATATACCATTCCCATGAAAATTGGATACGGGCAGAGAGAGTTTTAAGTGACCAGCTTATAGAAAGGCATACGAGTCCTTTCCAGAGGAGATTGGTGGCAGATCAAAGTCCAATTAATGATTGTTGAGGAAGGGAGCTTATAATTCTTTAATTTGGTATAAAGTAATACAGTGGTACCTCTGGTTAAGTACTTAATTCGTTCCGGAGATCTGTTCTTAACCTGAAACTGTTCATAACCTGAAGCACCACTTTAGCTAATGGGGCCTCCCGCTGCTGCCGTGCCGCCGGAGCCCGATTTCTGTTCTTATCCTGAAGCAAAGTTCTTAACCTGAAGCACTATTTCTGGGTTAGCGGAGTCTGTAACCTGAAGCGTATGTAACCCGAGGTACCACTGTATATGCTACATCTATTTTTTCCTATACTTTGTCCCTACCAGCTTCTAAGAGACCATTCATTTAGCTGGGGGTTATTGTTGCTCCAAATCCTACAAAAAGTGAGATTCGTAGATCAGCAAAATTGTTGTTTGAGATGATGGCCCACATTGTCTCTCTGAAGACTGAACGTTTCTTTCCTAACTACTTGACCCAAAGAACAGAATGCAGCCCTGAAAGAAGGATAAGCATGTGGACAAGAGGTGCAATAATAGCAGTGGAGGGATATTCTGAATCAAACCAAAATGTGAAATGCTGCCGCAACAGATACAAAAAGTGTGTCCCTCCTTAAAGGAGAAGGGTTAGACCAGATTATGAAAATTCATCTCCCACCCACCATGATTTTAGTTTTGCGATTGTAAACATTTCAGATTCACATCTATAACTTTTTGCCGTTAGGCTTGGATGTAGGATTTGGAGAAACCCGACTGTGCTGTGAGCACGTTATCTTTAGCAGTTTCCAGACATGGGCTTAATACTGGGAATGGGTCGTGCAAATATCACAAACAGGTCATTTGCAACAGGGTTTTGCTTTTAACTTAGCAGCTTCCCCCCAGAAAGAGTAAATCTGGATGGGTAAATGGGTGTGCAGGAATACAGACTGGCATTTTTTATGCCAACAGCCATCATGTAGATGCTACAAAAATGTGTATGCATGAGGAGCACACAACACATGCCCATCTGGAAGCAGACTTCGTTGTTAGAGATATTTCCCACCCCTCTTCTTCCTGTTTTAATACAGTTGTTACTTTGCTTCACTTGCCCCTATTCCCTGTGTTTGGTGGAACTCATCCAAATCCAAGAAGAAGAAGAAGAAAATCAAGATGCTAGCAAAGACGGAATCAATATAAACAACTCTATGTTGGTGTGCCATAGTACACATTAACTATACAAAGTGGCTCAGGAACCTGAATTAAGTATCTCAGTCAGTTTCAGTGACTCTTAGCACTAAACTCAGATTTCTGATAACACAAGAGCGAAATGTGCTACCAGGGGCATAAAATTACAGACATATATAAATTAAATCCTGTTCTCCATCCTACTTTACTCCTCCCCTGAAAACCTTACTTTGAGAGAATTTCCATCAGTGTCCTTAAAAGTTCTGCCTCCCTTTTTAGCAACAGACCTCTTTATAGTAATGACTGCTCTGCTGCTCTGTGTTTTCAAATGATAGTCCCTTTGGCTTCAGCTCCTGACCTCCATGGGATTGGCAGCAGAGCCAAATAAGCAATATTGCTCTGTGTAGCTTGTATGAGGATAGGCTCATCCTCCCCGCCAGGAATGCCAGTTGCAGGATGTACCTGCTCAGACTCGGCTCCTTGTTCAGATCTGATTCAGAACTCAGTCTCTTAGCAACTTCACGACAAAAACGCTTGGATTCTAGTCCTCTGCCCAAGTTGCAAGAAAAGGTAAAGGAACTAGAAATGAGTAAACACAAATCGACACCTTCGGAACTATACAAAGAAAGGGCAAATGTGGAAAATAAATGGGTGGTAGGGAAGAAATTTAATTCAGGTTGCATTTAATGGTGAATCAATCTAATTTGCATTTTATGAATCAATACACGAACTGAAACAAAATTATCCTTTGACATTTGCACTTCTCCAAATTCTTCAGTGCTGTTCTCCAGACAAGTAATGTGTATAAAAATGCATATGTTAGGAGTAATGCCCCAAATGCATATATTTGTGAGAATAAAAATAAGTTATACAGTGGTACCTTGGGTTAAGAGCTTAATTCGTTCCGGAGGTCCGTTCTTAACCTGAAACTGTTCTTAACCTGAAGCACCACTTTAGCTAATGGGGCCTCCTGCTGCCGCTGGCCGCCACTGCACAGTTTCTGTTCTCATCCTGAAGCAAAGTTCTTAACCCAAGGTAATATTTCTGGGTTAGCAGAGTCTGTAACCTGAAGCATATGTAACCCGAGGTACCACTGTATTAGAGAGAACTGATTTGGGGGGAAAATGAGTATGTTAGGCAAAAATGCATGCAAAACTGTGTATATTAGGAAAGAGTCACTCTTAATTGCTGGTGAATTTTCATTAGATTAAAAATAATAATAATTCAGAAACTGATCTGAAAAGTGGAGAAATGAACTTAAGACTGGGAGAATAAGAAACTGAGAGAAACCAAAATGGCCTTCAGATATAATGGTAGTATTCAGCTTGACTGCATTAGACTACGTTCTTAATCTCACACACTACTGTTGTGTTAATATTAGGGCTTCCCCGTCTTTTAGGATATACTGTGGACACATAGGTAGTTAAAACAACACACAGCCCATAGACCAATTCAAATTGTTTTCTTTAGTGTAGTTTTTTGAACAACACCAGTGTACTTGGAATGCTTGAGAGCTAAGCATGCAGGACCAATGGCTGACTGCTCACATTAGTAATATATAAAAGTCCTGTTAACTGCAGTTGGATTGCTTCAGTGAGTTAGATGAAGAAATCTGTTTTGCTCTTAGAAAGCCTAGGCCAGTCTTCCCCCAGCTGGTGCCTCCCAGATGTTTTAGACTACAAATCTCTTCAGCATATGCTTGATCTTACCAAATTTATCTTATGGATGGACATAAAAGCAAGACATGTGTAGATAACAGGGGAACCGACTTGGGCCCCAGGTTATCGGTGCCCAGTGTGCACAATGTCATGACCTCATGTTGCAACGTGACGTCACAATGTCACATGCTCCCCAGCCTCGGAACCTGACTTCCAATGGCACTCGCAAGACCTCAGAAAGCATCTCCAAGGTCTTGCGATGCCTTAGAGATGTTTTCTGTGGTCCTGCAATACCTCGGAGGTGACTCCTGGTGCTTCACAATTTGCGTCAGGGCCCCTGCGATGTGGGTGCTGAACACCCACAACAAAAATTTGTGGGTGCTCAGACACCCAGACTTCCTTATAGTTGGCACCCCTGATAGTTAAGGAAGCCCTTTAGATAACCTGGTCCAGAATAATTTTGAGCTCCTTTTATCTTAGCTACCTTAGATGAAACGCAAAATGTTATAAAGCACAAACATGAGCCTCAGAAGCCGGGCCATAATAATAATAATTTTTATTATTTATACCCCACCCATCTGGCTGATTTTCCCCAGCCACTCTGGGCGGCTTCCAACTCTGGGCTTGCCCTTTACTCCCATTTGGTGGTGCAGCACCCGGTGCCAGCTGTCCTGCTGCTTCCCGCCCAATTGGCAAGGCTCTTCACTTCCTCACTTTCCAGAGGACTTTGCTGGAACTGCCACCTCTAAAGGAGACACAAAAGCAAATTGTAAAGGGGGCATAATTTATGCTACAAGTAAGCATTAATTTAGGGTTTGTGTTCTTTTGTTTAATGCAAGCAACAGCAAAAACAAGCACCTTATCGTTCTCTCTGGTCACTCATTTGCTCTCATTTCACATCCTTGAAAAAGCACACAGAGAATGCAAGCTGACCTAAGACAACGAGTAAAAATGACTCATAAAGGGAATTGTGTACAGAGTATCTTTTATGCAAACAGTTAGAAAGGAAGTGCTACAGAGTGGAGAATTAACACTCTCCCACTTTAATCTCGAGGTAGCAGCCCTTTTCCCTTCAAAGTGCAAGTAAAGGGCAAATGGGATGATAGCCTCATAAGCCCTCCTGGAAACAACAATAGCCACATGCTATGGGGTTACGTACATCCTTGTTGTTTGGCTTAGACTGCAATATCTTCTGACTTATGCACAAGGCCACAAAGGAAGAGGAGCCACAGGTTGCAGGGTGGGAAACACTACAGTGGACACTCGGGTTGCATACTTGATCCATGCGGGATGCACATTTGCAACCCACAGCATTCGTAACCCGCAGCGGCACGTCTGCACACTCGCAGGTTGTGATTCAGCGCTTCCGCACATGCGCAAAGCACGATTTAGCGCTTCTGCGCATGTGTGACCTCCAAAACCCGGAAGTAACTTGTTCCGGTACTTCCAGGTTTCGGAGCACCTATAACCTGAAAAAACGCAACCTGAAGCGTCTGTAACCCGAGGTATGACTGTATTGGCTGTCAGATTTGCAATCTAGATTTCACGATTTGGGTTGGATGCCAAAAGACCTTTTTAATTTATATATCTATAGCAGGAAGATTCTAAGGTTTTTCAGGAAGAAGACATTTTGAAGATTGGATTGGATTTGCATGCATCTCCCAGGAGGAACTTTCGTTTAGACATTAAGCAAAATAGGATAGTTTTACCTGAAAGGGTATCACACATAGAAAAGAGCTGAGGGGCCACATAGATGCCCACGTCCCTGGGATCATGTGGTTCTTGGCCCAGCTCCTACATTCATGTACTGGGGTTTAAGGCAGTTGGGAGAACCAAGGAGCTACGTGGCCTGGGGCTGAGCCAATGATGCGTCTGTGCAACCACGTCGAAGCCCAGCACTGATAGCTCAGTTGGTTAGAGCACGGTGCTGAAAATGCCAAGTTTGCAGGTTCAATCCCCATATGGGACAGCTGCATATTCCTGCATTGCAGGGGGTTGGACTAGATCAGAGCTTTCCAAACTTTTCATGTTGGTGACACACTTTTTAGACATGCATCATTTTGCGACACAGTAATTTAGTTTTATGGGACGCGGGTGGAGCTGTGGTGTAAACCACTGAGCCTTGGGCTTGCCGGCCAGAAGGTCGCGGTTCAAATCCCTGCAACAGGGTGAGCTCCCATTGCTCAGTCCCTGCTCCTGCCAACCTAGCAGTTTGAAAGCATGTCAAGTGCAAGTAGATAAATAGGTACCGCTCTGGCGGGAAGGTAAACGGCATTTCCATGCGCTACTCTGGTTTCGCCAGAAGCGGCATAGTCATGCTGGCCACGTGACCTGGAAAAACTGTCTGCGGACAAACGTCGGCTCCCTCGGCCACTAAAGCGAGATGAGCACTGCAACCCCAGAGTCATCTGCGACTGGACTTTACTGTCAGGGGTCCTTTCCCTTTCCCTTTTTAATTTAGTTTTACTAGCAAACAGGTTAAACTAACACCTTTCCAGCCCTGGGAGGAGCACGGGGAGCATTTGTGTGACACACCTACACACTGCAGCCACACACTAATGTGTTGCGACACACAATTTGGAAAGCTCTGGACTGGGTCCCTTCCAACTGTACAATTCTATGATTCAGGCATAGAAGGAGCTTTTATTTTACCTTTTTTCAAAATTGTCTGTTAAAGTGCTCTTTCCCATGCAGTCTCATCCACTGCACGAAACACACACCATTTTCCTGCTTACATCTCTTTCTCATGCTTGAGCTCAATGGAAGTGATGGACTAGCAAGCAAGGAGGTAAGGAGTTTGTGTGCTTAGTGAGCTTAGAGTCTCATTGCCCTCATTCCTTGCTGCTCCACGTCCTCACATGCCTGGGCTTGGAGTGGTCAGCAAGATAAGCTAGCAGCAGTGCCAACCCATCTGCACTCTAGCCCAGGGCCAATAGCAGTACAACTGCAAGTGAAGGGAATGGCAGAAGAAGCTGATGGGGGAGGAAGAAATATAGGCTTCTGAGGGTGCACACTTCCTTCTGCTGTTGCTCGTGTTTTCCAGCACCCACCCGAGCACACATTGTTGAAGCTGGGCCTGTTCTGGGTCCTTGAGAGCCAGTGCAGTGTAGTGGTTAAGAGCAGTAGACTCGTAATCTGGTGAACCGGGTTCGCATCTCCGCTCCTCCACATGCAGCTGCTGGGTGACCTTGGGCCAGTCACACTTCTCTGAAGTCTCTCAGCCCCACTCACCTCACAGAGTGTTTGTTGTGGGGGAGGAAGGGAAAGGAGAATGTTAGCTGCTTTGAGACTCCTTCGGGTAGTGATAAAGCGGGATATCAAATCCAAACTCTTCTTCTTCTTCTTCTTCTTCTTCTTCTTCTTCTTCTTCTTCTTCTTCTTTTATTTAAATTTATTTTTGCCCATTACTCCTGTCAAGTGCCACTGCTGCACGCAGTAAGCCTACTGGGAAAGGCCCACTGAGGCAGGTTGACCCATTAGGACAGGCCAGTGGGGGCCCATCTTTCAAACCTGTCTTTTCCCCCCCCATGCTCCAAACCCGCTAACTACTGCAATGAGGTAGGACCTCCCAGTGATACTGAACTGCAACTCCCATCATCCTTGACACTTGTCCAGTGTCACCTAGAAGGGCAGTGGGTCCTTATCCCTGTTTTGCAGGTGGGTGGCTGTGCTGCAGAGAGTGGGGAAGGGAGAAAGGTTTCCATTAGGTCCTGCCAAGGTTAAAAAAAGGTAAAAGATCCCTGGACGGTTAAGTCCAGTCAAAGGCAACTATGGACTTGCGGCACTCATCTCACTTTTCACAGTTGGTCCACAGACACCTTTCCAGGTCATGTGGCCAGCATGACTAAACCGCTTCTGGCACAAGGGAACACTGTGACAGAAGCAAGAGTGCACAGAAACGCCATTTACCTTCCTGCCGCAGCAGTACCTATTTATCTACTTGCGCTGGTATGCTTTCAAACTGCTAGGTTGGCAGAAGCTGGGACAGAGCAACAGGAGCTCACCCCGCCGTGCAGATTAGAACCGCTGACCTTCCAATCGGCAAGCCCAAGAGGCTTAATGGTTTAGACCACAGCACCACCCGCGTCCCTTAAGGTCCTGCAATGACTTTTCTAGAAGGCCTCCCCCCACCCCTCATGCCTGCCCACTGTCAAGTAGCATGGCTCAGTAGAAGTATTGGTTACAGCTGCAGTGGCCAGCCACAGTACCTGACAGTGAAGTACCCACCGGAAAAGAACCTGCACCCCAAGAGTAACCCCGCTCTGCCCCTTAGCTGCCCAGCTGCAGCAATTTTGGGAGCTCTGGCTGCTAGTACTGCTGGATCACTTGAGTTCAATCAGCTGTGAGAATGGGATGGAGCTCATCTATCAACCTCTATTTTCAATCTCAGCAGGAAAAAGATCTAGGTTACAAATCACTGCTCTACCTTCCAGGCAAGACCAGAGGTAATAGTAGTTTATATGTCAGTTCTGGAATGCTCTTGCATTTCTTTCCCCCGTATAAAGGAGATTTAGTCCTTGGTGGTGATAACCTGGCATTTTCAGTCAGTCCTGATAGCTTAAAATGTGCCCTTCGTATGTATTTCCAGTTGCTGATCCTTTTTCAGATCAGGAGTTGAGGTCTCCAAATTCTTAAGAAGTGCCCGTTTTTGGAAATTTCCAGGAAGTGAAATTTCTAATCTGGTTATGTTGTATAGTGTAAACACAACATTTTAAGGAGTACATTGGATACATGCTCTCTTCTTCTGTCAAGAGCCCCTTTCAGTTGTTCAAAATCCACACGTAACAGACATTTATGGCAGGCTCCAGCCCTCACCATTGCACATTGAGTAGAACTCTGCACATGGATTAGGGTGGAGCCTCAGTTTCCTCCCCCAGCCTCTCTCTCACACACACGCGTCATTATTCACAGATATCGAAGTCAATGCGATGAACTCAGCTGGATGACTGGGTCTTGGGAAGAACGTGAAATCCATAGTTTCCAATTTTATTTCTTTTATTTTTAAAAAACCATAGCAGATTTTCAGAGCCAGTGCCAACACATCACTGTTTGCTTGGGCAAAAATGTCAAAGGAGACACTGCAGTGTTGTGTGTACAAACTAAGGGTACATTTCTGAACCTTAATGGTCACTTGGCCTGTGTCTCAGAACAAGCCACCTGGCTAAACATTATCACTTTATGGGCTGTATGCCATCATTTCCCCATAGAATTACTATGACATCAGAGCAAACATGTTTATATGACTTCCTGTTATAACAATTAAAATGTTTTATTCTACTTGTGTTCCATGATCCTATATTTGGTCTGAAACATTAAAAATGCTCTCATTATTATTATTATTATTATTATTATTATTATTATTACTTATACCATCTGGCCAGGCCTCCCCAGCCACTCTGGGCAGCTCCCAACAGAATATTTAAAACACGATAAAACATCAAACATTAAAAACTTCCCTAAACAGGGCTGCCTTCAGATGTTTTCTAAAAGTCAGGTAGTTGTTTATTTCCTTGACATCTGATGGGAGGGCGTTCCACAGGACGGGTGCCATTACCAAGGTTAAACTTAAAGATAGCCCCCCCCCCTTAAACTGACAGTTCAGATCATCAGCTTTCCATATGCAAGCTGTAGATGGTTTCAGGATGCCTACCAGGTGCGGGTATCTAACCGTGTCACTCAAGTGATTGCAACAGCAGAAGGATGTATTACACAAAATGAGAAAGTGGCCTTCTGAGCTACACTAGCAAACTGCAGCTAATCAGAGCACAGTGGGACATCAGCTCTCTTGAGGTTTCCTGAGCTTCATCCTTCTTAAAAAAATTATTCAACTTCAAGCCAAGGAATCCAGCTCTTTCTCAGATTTCTATTTGGGTTTTTTTGCTGAACGGAAGCCAGTGGCATTTAAATGCATTTTGGTGTGAGGAAAGTTCTGCTCTGGAATACCCCTACCCAATACTGGCCCACGTCACATGTAATACTAGGTCAAAGCAGGACTTAGTGCAAATAAGCAAACATGAGAGAAGACCACAGTCACTCCATGGGTTCTGCTAATGCCATTCTTCTGTGAGGTCAGCCATGATTTGGCTTAGCGTTACATCCAGATCCAAGCTTCTCCACACAAACCATGAGCAGTGAGCCATAAGACAAACCTTGGTTCTTCTGGAGCAAAATCAATCATAAGCCCAGATTCAGATATGAAACCACAGAGCACGTCCGCTGTAGGACAGGACAGAGAACAAATCACGCTGCAATCTTCTCTCTAGGAACTACATCTTTTCTCATTCCCACTAAACCATGGTTTGACTTAGCACTGGGACACTACAGTGTTTTCCTTATAGTTTTGCTGGCAGATTGGTGGAAGCTACCTCTTTGATCACAGGTGAACCATAGGTGAGAATGGGATGAGTTTGCTGCTTTCCTATTAAAGTAGGCGTGAAGAACATTTGCCCTCCCCAAATGTTGTTGAACTTCCAACTTGAATCAGCCCAGCCTGCAAGGTCGATAGCTCCTGTTATAAAACAGCTGTGTGCTTTATTTGATCAACTTCTGCTCCTTGGTTGTTTTGGAAATGCACTGCTGTGATCTGCTTTTTGCTCTGGTGTGTGAGTCTGGGGGTAGGGAATGTTTGAAGCTTCCTTGTAGCATCTGGCTTCCTCCTTGCATCTTTGTACCTGTTTTCCTAAGTGTATTCATTGTCTGATAAGTTTGCTTCAGCTTTTGCCTGCTTGGTCTGCACAATATCAACGGTGTCAAATGACCTAATATCAGTTAGCAGGTTTAAAGCAGAGGCCTCACAGTGAACTGATCTAGAATGCTATTCAGGCCTGTTCTGTGATTACCTTTAAATCTTACTCGTTTTTTCTTCTTTAAAAAAATATCTTACATTTACTTTTAGTTTTACATGAAGCTAATTCTGCTGTCTCCTGTGTGTTACTCTCAGGTAGGCAGCACTCAGGAAACCCACCCAGATGGGCGGGGTATAAATAAATTATTATTATTATTATTATTATTATTATTATTATTATTATAGACTGGGGAAAGCAACCTTAAAGTAACTCACATGCTGGCTGGAGCTGATGGGAGTTATAGTTCGAAACGTCTGAAGGGCACCAGATTGGCTACATGTATCATACTTTCCATCCATATTTTCATGCAATGCTGTGCTAGACAGATTTTGCCCAACTGAGTGCAGTGTGACTTACTGCTTGTAAAGTGTGCTTAGGATTGCAGGCTAAGATTCTGTTTGAATAAGCCTTGACCTCAAATGAAGGTCTTCAGAGTCCCATGTGTGCATTGGAATTCATGTAGAACTTGGGTACAAATAGGTTTTGCCATTCACTTTGTTGGAGTGAGCAGTTCTGTGTATGCATGACTTTGTGCATGTAGAACTGCACAAAGAAAAGCCTTGGGGCAGGAGAGCTTTGAATGTACCTCAGAACCACTGGCTAATTTTGAATGAGCAGCACTGAACCTTGGGTTTGCATGTTCTCCACTCTCCTCACTATCTCCAGCGTAGCCAAGAAGAGGCATTTGGAATCTCACACTTCCACTTTTCTTACTTTTGTCCAAACCAGCAAACTATTGTTAAGTACAGTTTGGTTGAAAGAAACAACTTCAAACCATGGTTTATGCATCTGGCTTAGTTAACCAGACCATAGTTAGCATTAACCACAGTTTCTTGGTTCAAAGGTCACAATCAGCAATGATTAAGCAAAAGCAGAAACAAAATATTGCCAATTCCTCACAACTGCCCCAGAAGAGGAAAGGAGAAGCACACGACCCCATACCTTGCAGCTCTTTTCCTAGTCATTCGCATCACACTAAACTATGGTTTAAAACAGGCTTCCAGATACTTTGGACTACAAATCCCATCTGTCCTGGTCAGCATGGTCAAGAATGATGGAGTTGAGCCGAAAACATATGGAGGGTGCGAGGATGAGGGATCCTGATTTAAGTGGTGGCCAAACAGGACCTTTGTGTGTCTAGAAGGGATAGGTGAGTTGGAGTAACATTGGTGTATTAACAATTACTTTAAATTGGAAATGCTTTAGTTTCCATAGTAATAAACTGTTTACCTGACACATTTCAAGCTTGCAGATAAATGTTGGTGTGGATTTTTATTGTTATTATTATTGCAATGCAAGATTCAAATTATTTTGCATGCATCTCTGGAAAGCTTAAAGAAAATAATGTCCTATCACTCAGAGGAGGGTGGACATTTAGCTGGCAATGGCTTTAGAAATTTTTCAATGCTGCGTTTTTACTCTAAAAATCCAGTAAACAAAGCTGGCTTCTGTGTGGGGGGAAAGAAGGAAAAGAAATGAGTGGGTGATTGAATCCAATTTTCTTAATACCTTTCATTATTTATAATGCGTGAAATGTTATATCAATTTCATCGGAACAAACAAAACGAATAAAATGAGGGGGTTTGACTTTAAATGTATTTGTTTTGAGGATGCAGTGGGTGAGAAATTTAGACTGAGTTTGTTTCCTAATGGTTTGATATTTGGACATTTTAAAATCATAACAAATGGTGGTTCCTGTGAAGATTTATGGAAAAATCTGTTCTGGTTATTTGCTTCCAGATGACGGCTTCCAACGTTAGTGGTTGCTTAAACATGAACACTGTGGCCACTGAGCTTTTCCCCAAATAAGTGCTTATGATTATTATTACCGATACTCTACCCACTAGACCACACTGACTATATCACACACACACACACACACAGAGAGAGAGAGAGAGAGAGAGAGAGAGAGTTATCTGTAATGACTTGGATATCTCCACTAGTGTTTTCTTTTAGAGTTTTTTTGCAGTGAAAATTCCTTCCTCTGTGGGATCTGTACTTTGTCACAAATGTGAGTCAAAACTAAGATAGGGAGCGGGTGGTACTGTGGCCTAAACCACTGAGCCCCTTGGGCTTGCCGATCAGAAGGTCGGCAGATTGAATCCGTGTGACGGGGTGAGCTCCCGTTACTCTGTCCAGCTCCTGCCAACCTGATAGTTTGAAAGCATACCAACATGAGTAGATAAATAGGGACAGTGGTACCTCAAGTTAAGTACTTAATTCGTTCCGGAGGTCCGTACTTAACCTGAAACTGTTCTTAACCTGAAGCACCACTTTAGCTAATGGGGCCTCCTGCTGCTGCCACGCAGCCAGAGCCCGATTTCTGTTCTTATCCTGAAGCAAAGTTCTTAACCTGAAGGACTTTTTCTGGGTCTGTAACCTGAAGCATATGTAACCTGAAGTGTATGTAACCTGAGGTACCACTGTACAGTGGGAAGGTAAATGGTGTTTCCGTGCACCAGAAGCGGTTTAGCCATTCTGTCCCTCAGACCTGGAAAACTGTACTGCAGTTAATGTTGGCTCCCTCTGCCTGAAGCGAGATGATCGCCACACCCCATAGTCAGGTTTGACTGGACTTAACTGTCCAGGGGTCTTTTGCCTTTACCTTCTTTACCGAGGTAGGAGAAGTTGATGGCAGGCTAGTGTGATGGCTGGTGTAAGCATGGTGTTCTGCTGTCTGAATTCAATCCTCTGCAAAGTTGGAAATAGAGTCCTCCTCCCTTGATTTCTGAAGCATAGGTTGCCTTGCTTACTTGCACATTGTTGAAGCCTCACAGCAGGAGGAAGCAAAGCCACATCTTTATTCATTGCCTGCCAATAATTCTGCTTGATCGCAGCTTTATCATTCCAAGATTGGTAAGCGACTCACTAGAACCCCACGTTTTATTTTGTTAATAATTTAAAAAGGGAAACTTCCTCCTGGGGCACGTAAGTTCAAAGTGTGACTGATGTGCGTCGCAGAGGAAAGCAAACCAGAAGAAAAATGAACAGGAAATATTATGAGCTTTCAAAACTTGATGATTTTTCTAGGATGGCAAGTCACGGGATTTATTTATCTATTTTTAATAGCAACCTCGGTAATAACACTTATTTATTTATTTAAAGCCTTTCCAGCCCATCTCATTCCATGCCGCAGACAGCTTAACAACCAAAACTGAAATCAAAACATTCCCTATTAAGGACAGCAAGTTAGAAAAGGAGAACGAGAACCAGAAGCAAATGTAATACCCATCTTTGCCGATTTCAGCTTCCGTTTGACCGAAGATCACGCACCCCCTGTCGAATGCATGATCAGAAGTGTGTTTTGCAAAAATCTCCCCTACAAAGCCATTCCACAGCCCCAGAGCCTCTACCAATAAAGGCCTACTCCTTGCTGGAGATCGGTTCATACAGCTCTCAAAGTGATGGAACAGAGAGCCAAGACACCCAGTGTGGAATCTTAATCGGTGTGGTAGAACGTATGAGGAGAGGCTGTCCTGAAGTGATTCAGGTACTAGGCTGTGGAGGCTTAAAGGTTATACCAAGGAACTCATTGCAACCCTTCCCCACTCCAGTAATCTGCAGTAATGCAGGTGTCGAGAGGATGGCTCCACTGCTCTGTCCCACCTTCATCATCATCATCACTTTTAATTTGTGTAAAGGTAAAGGGACCCCTGACCATTAGGTCCAGTCGTGGCCGACTCCGGGGTTGCGGCGCTCATCTCGCTTTAGTGGCTGAGGGAGCCGGCGTACAGCTTCCAGGTCATGTGGCCAGCATGACTAAGCCGCTTCTGGCAAACCAGAGCAGCGCACGGAAACGCCGTTTACCTTACCACCGGAGCGGTACCTATTTATCTACTTGCACTTTGACGTGCTTTTGAACTGCTAGGTTGGCAGGAGCAGGGACCGAGCAACAGGAGCTCACCCCGTAGCGGGGATTCGAACCGCCGACCTTCTGATCGGCAAGTCCTAGACTCTGTGGTTTAACCCACAGCGCCACCCATGTCCCTTTAATTTGCATACCGCCTTTCTATCTTACAATACTCAAGGCGGTTTACAAGCTGAAGAAACAAAGAATGTACACCTTATCTAATACAATACAGAAATGTGATAATAAAACAGCTTTAAAATAAGCAATCTACATCAATTAAAAGTAACATTCAACAATCATTAGAATAGTATAGAATACAGTGGTGCCCTGCAAGACGAATGCCTCGCAAGACGGAAAACCCGCTAGACGAAAGGGTTTTCCGTTTTGGAGGTGCTTCGCAAAACGAATTTCCTGTGTGCTTGCTTCGCAAGACGAAAATGTCTTGCGAGTTCCTGCGGGTTTTTTTTTCCTTTTTCCCAAGCCGCTAAACCGCTTATCAGCTGATCGGCTAAGCTGCTTAACAGCTGATCGCTAAGGCGCTTATCAGCTGATCGTTAAGCCGCTTATCAGCTGATCGTTAAGCCGCTTAACAGCTGATCGCTAAGCCGCTTATCAGCTGATCCGCTAAGCCCGCTAAGCCGCTAATACTGTAGCGCTAATCCGCTAAACCGCTAATGGGCTTGCTTCGCAAGACGAAAAAACCCGCAAAACGAAGAGACTTGTGGAACGGATTCTTTTCGTCTTGCGAGGCACCACTGTAATAATATCAGCATATAAAAATTTAACAGAAACCCACTCTTAACAATTACAATAAATAATTTCAAAACGACAATCAATAAAACAACGGCAAGCCACAATGCATAAAATAATACAGTACAAATTGAGAGGCAGAGACTGGAGGGTGGGGCAAGGCAGGTGGAAGAAGGCCTTGCCTGATAGAGTCTCTCCCCTCACCTTAATGGCAAACTACTGGAGATAGGTTGCTGATCAAAGCTGCCCCTAGCTTCTAAATCACTCCAACGCTGCTGAGAGGTTTGCAAGCAGAGAATGATCTCTGCTTGCCAACCTCTACATTCTGATCAGCCACCAAGGCTACTATGCCAGGCCAGAAGCCCAGCTGAAAAGGGCCACCAGAAAATACCTCATCCAGATATGCTTGAAGTTACTCTGACAGTGCAGTCTTTGAAACTTCACCATATACTATGTCAGGATTAACAGTTCACCATTTTAAAAAATTGGCGGATGCTCTTAGCATCCTGCCCGGGGATCGAAGGCCAGGGTAGATCACTGCAGCCAGTTTGCTAGGATAATCTAATGCTTTCAAGTAGGATTTCTCTGTGTTCAATCCCCCCCCCCATGATTATTCCTTTCAAATCAAACCCATGAACAGGAATGCCCCCAAATGTGTATAACCCTGCTCTGTCACTACAAACAAAATCATTGCTTACACCTGATCCCAGAAACTTTGCTTGCCTCAAATCAAGCCTGACATTTCATCATTTCAAGGAAATAAACAATGATCTGACTTTTAGAAGACACCTGAAGGCAGCCCTGTTTAGGATAGTTTTTAACGTTCAATATTTTATTGTATTTTTAATATTTTGTTGGGAGCCACCTAGAGTGGCGGGGTAGAAATAATAAAGTATTATTATTATTATTATTATTATTATTGCAAGGAATTTTTTAAAAGCCACTAGAGGATCTGCTGTACTCCAATAAACTAATATAGTGGTACTGCTTTGGATACTATTCATAGTAAGTTTCATGCAAACGAAACTGTATCAAAAGCAACATCCAGCTGGTGTCCTAATACTTTGGAGAAACTACCTTTTCTGCCTGTAAGAAAAGGAGTTAATTCATTAAACCACTGCACCTTCAGTTGAATTATTTTTCAGTAACCATTTACTTAAGTGTCAGAAACTACTCACTTGGGGAGAGACCCAAAGTAGTTAGTGGAAGCTGCCTTATACCCAGTCAAACCAATGGTTCATCTAGCTCAATTTCGACTGACAGCAACTTTCCAGATAGAAAGCCTTGAGGCAGAGCCCATGGTTTGTGTGGTCAACGTCCCAGGTTAACAGTCCCTGGCATATGCAGATTAAAGGGATCCTGGGCTGCTAGAGATGTGTGGAAGACCCAGGGAAAGACTCTACCATTAGGCAGACTGTGGCAGCCGATTTAGGCTGCCAGGAAGAGGCAGCACAATATTTACTTTACTGTTGTAATTTCACTCCCATGGAGAGGCAGTTGTGGGGTTTTACTGTCTTAGCCTTTCTTCTTCTTTCATTCAAGACTTGCTTCTCTACCTTGATATGGGAACTAGTGGCGCCATCTGCCTCAAGCAGCAAAATGTTTTGCGCTGCCGCTGGAGGTCACTTTCTGCCAGACTCCCCAGAGAGCCCATGCTAGCTAGAGTAGATAATATTGGACTAGGAGGACAATCAGCCTGACCCAGTGTAAGGGAGCTTCCTAGGTCCCTTCCAGACTAGGTGTTCGCCTTGGATCCAGCTGCTCAGTTATCTCTGCACAGTGGAAATATTTGCACATTTCTCCCTTTCATACAAACCCAAGGCTGGCATACGGAAATGCATGTACGCAAAGGTTTTCAGTTGTACCATGGGTAGATTGATGTACTCTTGATTCCGGAGACAGCTTTCGCTGATCAGGCAATTGCCAGAGCAGGCGGAGGCAAAGGAGACCTTCTACGCTAGGCATGTGTTTCCTGCTGGAAGAGTGCTCTAAGCACATCACTTCTTGAAAAGAACTCATAGGAGAAAGAGGGGGGAACCCAACGCTAATTAGCAATGGGTCAGTTTTTGAAGTGCAGTGGTTTGGTGTGTGCTGCAGACGGGCTTTCTTGGCCAAGGGTCGTTGCTACATAAAAGGGCATTGAGTGGCGACAGGGTCCTTGTTCTCAGGAACAAACTTCTCTGAAGAAGTTCTCTAAGGAAAACCTAGTGGTAAATGGGTTCCCCCACCAGTGAGGTCAACCTGGGGCATCGTAATGTTACAGAAGGAAGAAGAAGTGCAAGGGCCTCTGTCTACTGTTTCTCCACATTTCTATCTTGCTTTCACATCTCTCCACCCAGGAGATGTGCAAACTGTCCCTGTATTGGCGGCTTTTGCGTCCTTCAGATTAGTTTCTGACGGGGGGAGTAACAGGAAGACTGGGTCCTTATGCTTCCCATCCTGTCCAAGTCTACAACCTGCTTGCAACTGAAGCAATAACTGACATGGTTGCCTAAAGCAACCTCAACTGACCTGATGTCCATCAGATGTTTTGGACTATAAGCCATGACAGATGGGGCTGATGAGAATTGTAGTCCAAAATAGCTGGAGGGCACCGGTTGGCAAAGGCTGGCCTAAAGTAATGGGAAGGATTACTCTGATAGAAGCTATTGCGAATATTAATCCATAGTCCATTTGCCCTGGTCCTCCTTTTGTGCCCAGACACAACCTAGCCTTTTTGTACATTTGGGCAAATGGCTTCTGTGGAATTAATTAGCAAATCATGTTATGTCTGAAACTGAGCTTATAGCATTAAATTAGTTTCTCGGGGCCTATTGCTGAGCCAGCAAGAGGGTTGTTATTTAGAAAAACAAGCACTTAGTTGTACTGCTTAGTTTCGCTCCCTGGTAGAAGAAGAATAATGTTTACCATTTAATTAACCTCATGTGGCATGGTGGGAATGGATGGCAAATCAATAATGAATGTCATTACAGTCACCTTGTGCAACTGCAATTCTGGTTTTCAAACGAGGGGGAATGATAATGAGTCTTGATTTCTGCAGGAGCACTTTCAGTGGTAGGCAGGTGATTAGTTATGAAGCTCAGCGCTCCCACTGGAGGAATGAAGAAAGCTGGCTGCCAAACTCTCTGAGAAGACGAGCCAAGGGACTGGAAACACAAGATGGAGGACACTGCTTATTGCCTTGTCCTGTTATTTATTTCCATCTCAAAAATCCTTAAATTAAGAACTCAATGGTGCTTGTGTGTTTAGGAAGGGAGTTAATGGGGTGTGTGATGCAGTAAACAGCAATTTTGCACGTGACCAAAAGTCCCGAGGATTGTGTCTCTTCCCGTACTTGTGAACACATGTGACACAGGAAGTTGTCTTAACTCAGTAAGACCATTGGTCCTTCTCTTACTCAGGATTGTCCACACTGCCTGGCAGCAGATCTCCAAGGTTTCAGTCAAGAGTCTCTCCTAGGAATCAAACCTGGGACTTTCTGCATACAAAGCAATGCTCTACTACTGAACTATGGCCCTTCCCCTGTGACTTCAGAGGTGGCCGTCATTACCTGCTTGATGTCATTTTGTCATGGAGAAGCATGACAAAATGGTGCAGGTTCTATTTCTGGCTATGTGTGGCCTCTCCCACAATAGAAAAAACCCCAAATAATATAAAGAGCAAAGTCCAACAGGAAAATCATCCCCTTGAAAAGAATGGGAACTGCACAAGAGGAGACGACTCCCATGGATTTCACTAGAACTTGCACAGGGAACTTCCCATTGGAGTGTGTCACTTAAATCATAGTAACCATTTCTAAATTGGCACATATGCGATGCATTGTTGGGGTAATGCAAAGCTGCTCATCAGTCTGGATTGTGTTCAAATTCCAGTAACTGGAATTACGTTCATTGTATGCAACTAAGGTCAGCAAGAATTGCATGTCATTAGGAATCTGATCATACTATGAGCTTTGCTATTTGAACAATGTTTTGTCGCATTGCAGCTCCAGAAACTGAAACGATCGCTGTCTTTCAAGACCAAAAGTTTACGGAGTAAAAGTGCAGACAACTTTTTCCAGCGGACAAACAGTGACATGAAGTTGCAGGTAGATTTGCTATCAGAAATCAGCCCCAGAACTGGCCAGCTCTCAGCCTCTGAAAGTCAGACATCTACTCCCACCATAGTCCAACACCAACAGGAAAGCAACAAAACTCACGTTTTCCAGGAGCACATATTCAAAAAACCTACGTTCTGTGACATCTGCAACCACATGATTGTAGGTAAGAATGGTTTTGCTTCTTCCCAAGCACCTAATGTACAATGGTATTTTCCAGCATGTGATAAAGAAAACTTGGGCTGATTATTTGAATCTTTTAAAATGTGCATGCAAGACCTCTAGGCAAAATTTTGTCCAAAGGATCCATTTCCTTTTATGTATTTATCATGATAGAAGGGTTTGTTGACCCTTGAGAATTCCAGAGCTCTGAATCTTATAAGTGTGCAGAATAATATAAATAGGAATCAAATAACTATGTAAGCTTTTCATTATAATATCACATCCAAGGCTTAAGCAGCAAATGCTATCGGTCTGAAATGACTGCAAGCCTTTGGACCCAATCAAGCAGTTTGCCCCAATTAAGATGCCACTTGAAAGCTTAGGCCTGTGGACAATATTTATGTAGTTAAATTTTCAGAAACATTCATGAAATTTAGAAATGAAATTCTAAAATCCTTCATAGCACTCAGATGCCTTGCTAGCCCACCCTTCTGTGACATCAGAGCATTCTAGACTAATAAGAGGTGTATTATTTATTATGTATTTTACTTGTTAGACATCTCATAAACAAGTTCTTGAGCCATAGGCATGGTGGTTATGATATCTTTTCTGTGCAGATCAGCTGTTCGCCACTGGACAATTCTAATAGTTTCATACCCTAGTGGTTAAGATTTTGCGACAAGATGCCATAAAATATATTGTAATAATCTCCCCCTCACTGACATGGGAGTCCATTGGACTAGTTAATGCATCTGATCACTCAAAACCATCTTCTGACTAGATCACTGGCCAATTGTGACAAAGTAGAACCACTGTGGTCTTGCAAGGTGGGTGAGGAGCTGCATGTGACATTGGGTGGAGGTCATAATTGTATAGAGATGGGGAATTATATAGGAATCATTATGTCATCTGTGCACTATGGTGTTTCTGCATGTTAGCCAGAGCTAACCTTATCTCCTGATAAACCTAATGATCTACAAATTCTGAGAATGTATTTCTACGGTCCTAGAACCTAAAGATTGTTAGAAGCCATGCTTCTATAGGAAAAGAATAGTATATCATACGAGAAAGATTCATAGAGTTGTAATGATGTTGAAAGAGAGATGGAATCCAAGAAGTGCTATCTGGCAGGAAGCTGGAAGAGGAACGGTAAATATACTCTTGAAGATAACTGATACAAGGTTTCATAAGCAGATACTTCCTTCAGCATATGTTGGAAGTTCTCACACTGATAGGATTCATGTAAGCAAATAAGTCTGTTTTCTGTACCGGTTAGGCAAAGATTGTTCTGTGATATAGTCTAACATAATGGTCTTTTACGCTAACTAGGGAGGCAAAACTTTGCCCGATATGATTTGTCTGCCAGCGGTAATGCGGAAATCCCAAATTGCCAACAATCTTATGCAGCACTTATTTCACCAAGCTGTTTGTCAGGGGCTTTTCAAGTTGAGCAAATTAATATCAAGGGAATTCTGATCTTGGAGAGCATTGTAGACTTTCGAGAAACGAGAGCTACATGTCCCCCCACAAACCCCCATCCCCAAATATATATTGGGAAATTTGTACTTTTAACATATTTTCTGTATATTTAAGTTAATTTCAGCAACAGTGGGAGCGCATTTGAGAGGAGAGTTTGAAATTTACAAAGATAAGAGGGCATACTTTTCCCCTATCCAAGTTTGAATAAAAAATGTATAAAACATATTCTGAATTGAAGTGTGCAATTTAAAACTTGCAAGAGCTTTGCAAGACAAGGATATTTTTCTTAGTATTCTTTTCAACCAAGATTCAGTGAATATCCAGAATATCCTTCTTACTCTTACCAATGTATAAATTTAGCTGGTGTCTTTCTGACTGCCGTTGGATCATTACAACAGTTGTTGGATAAACTGAATGGCAACCGTGAGGCCTGGGGCAGAGGAGAGGGTGCAACAAAATGCAGTGCTTTGATTAATGCACTCTAAAAACCTTCAACCCCTCCAGACCTTTACGTACATGTGTCTGGAGGCGTATTCAGCCCTTTCAAAATAAAACGCATGCACAAATATCATGGAAACTGGGGAAGATGTGGTGGAACAATAATGTTGTTGCAGAACCACCCCAAGCAAGCAGACAAACAGTAAAGTTGCACCAGTGGAAGCGAATGCTGGATATTTAACAATAAAGCACTTAAAAGGCTGCAAGTAAACTTCAATACGAAGATATAGGGCTGGATCTGGAGGCTACAGAAAGAGATGTATTACACACATGTACAACCATGATGTTTGTGTAATTGTGTTTGTGCTTGCCAACAAAACATTCTAGATCCCTGAATCAATTCCACAAGTGCTTATCTTTCAAAAAGAGTGGAAGCTTTTTGTTCTGGATTCTGCGCAAGCTGTGTTTATTTAGGAATAAATTCTGGGTCTTCATGCTATTAAATTCTCCATGCAAAATAGGGTATCAACATATCACCTGGTTTAACCTCTTCTGACCCTGCAGATGTTGTTGGACTCCAACTTTTACAATCCCCACCCAGCATGGCCAATGGCCAGAGACGATGAGAATTCCCCTTGAACATCTGGAGGGCCCTCCATACGTCATGTACTGACAAATATAATTGTGTGCAAAATGCAGTAGTGTAAACCTACCCTTTGTTTCAGATGAAACTAAGAGCTTTCTTGGTTTTTCACCAGATATGTCCTTGCTGTCTAACCTATCCTAATAAGAGGCAGATACAATGAGAATGCTGTATTTAATATTTCCTGTACAAGATGTTGAGACTCTTGCTATGTACGGATTCAGGATACCACCGAGGCCTACAGATTATGCATGATGGTAACATTCCATGAAGCCGAGAAATATTCTAATTCCTCAGGCTGTTAGAATAGCTCAGTTAACAATAAGTATTCAGATTCAGATAGGTAGCCGTGTTGGTCTGACACAGTCGAAATATATTTTAAAAATAAAAAAATTGTCCAGTAGCACCTTAGAGACCAACTAAGTTTGTTCTTGGTATAAACTTTCGTGTGCATGCACACTTCTTCAGATACACATATATTCAGTTTTTGCAAAGGAAAAAATTGAGAATCAGAGTATTTGCCGATGCAAGGCAGGTTCCAAAGCCCTGAATTTTTATGACCACTTGAGTCTTTTTCTCTCTTTTTTAGCTGAAACTAGTTCTGATTTATTATGTGATTTATTTGTCGGCTAATAATATAGAACTTGCAAGGAATGTAAAAGAGCAATGCTAATGATCATTCCCAACCACCTAGCCTACCTTGTCCAACATTATATCCAGTCTGGTTTGGTTTAGTTTAGTCATATTTTTCCATTCACCCTTGAGATAACATGTTAATGTATTTTCGGGCTGGTGAGGTAGGCAGGAGTCGAGATTCTGCAGGAAGATACAATTTAAGAGCCAGTCTGGGCTGAAACTGCAAAGCCAGCACATCAAAACATCAGGCTGTTACTTTGATGTGCTTCAGCCCCTTTTCTTTCCTTCTTTCTCTGCAGTGTTTTCATGTACAGACAGTTTTCCGCTGAAGAAAACAAGTGCTGAAAAAAATATATCCTTTTTTAAAAAACACCCAAAAATCCCATGCTATTCCTGAAGTCCATTTCCTGTAGTGACTCGAATGGAAAAAATCTTCACTTTCCGCACATTCTTTGCATACTGCGCCTCATCATTTGTGTCAAATCCCTAAAAACATTCCCTCCAATTTATTGTTAGGTTTTGGTACACATCCGTCTACCCAGAACTGGTTAGAGCAGCAGAATCAGGAAGGAACTCAAAAGCAAGATTGCATAATATATCTTGTTGCTTCGGTGAATGTTCTCTTGACGCCCCTTGGCTGGAAGAGCAATCATTCACTTTATGTTTTGCAATGTAATCAATTGCAATTTCATTTCACTTTTATGCAATATAAATTAGATTCCCTCCCCTCAAAATACAACCATCATTGAAAACTATCAGAGATACATAAACCATTTTTCTCATGAAGACTGCAGGAGCCCTTACGTATGAATATTTATCTGTGTTTTGAACTTAAACTCTATTCCTAATCCTTCTTCCCGTGCATTAACTGTTTCACGGGTGACCACATAGGCATCCTTGCACACAATCACAGGGCGCCACTGAGGTTTGAGAGCCCAGACTTACTGTGTATCCCCAGCCCACCTTTGTAATCAGTCAAAAGCACTTTAATCAGTTAACTTAACTTAGTAATTGACTCAGCATTGCATCCCCGAACTTTGAACAGAATAGGTGCTAACTCTACCTTGATGCAGGTGTTCTACTTTTGTCATAGAATTGTAGAGTTGGAAGGGACCCGAGGGTCATCTAGTGCAGGGGTCAGCAAACCTTTTCAGTAGGGGGCCGGTCCACTGTCCTCAGACCTTGTGGGGGGCCAGACTATATTTCAACCAAGTATCAAAATACAGTGGTCTGTTAAATATTAAAAGCTTCCCTAAACAGGGCTGCCTTCAGATGTCTTCTAAAAATCTGGTAGTTGTTTTTCTCTTTGACATCTGGTGGGAGGGCGTTCCACAGGGCGGGTGCCACTACCGAGAAGGTGTTCTGCCTGGTTCCCTGTATCCTGGCTTCTCGCAATGAGCGAAACGCCAGAAGGCCCTCGGCACTGGATCATTTAGCGCTTTAAAGGTCAGTACCAACACTTTGAATTGTGCTTGGAAACGTACTGGGAGCCAATGCAGATTTTTCAAGACCGGTGTTATGTGGTCTCAGCAGCCGCTCCCAGTCACCAGTCTAGCTGCCGCATATTCTGGATTAGTTGTACTCATTCTACTCATTGTACATTCTACTCATGTAAAAACACACTGATTCCCGGACCATCCACTGGCTGGATTTAGAAGGCGATTGGGCTTGATCTGGCCCCCGGGCCTTAGGTTGCCTACCCATGATCTAGTGTAACCCCCTGCAATGCTTGAAATGTGCAAATGCTACTCTAAGCTTCTCTCCCTGTTTGCTGTCCTATCCCTTTTAGATCCACATACATTGATACAGCTCATGCCACCTTTGGCACTTTTTCTGCACTCTCATATTGTGTTTGTTCGTGTGTGTGTGGGCAATTGCTCACAGGAGCCATCTTCTTGCCGTCTTTAGTTACATGCAAGATAACAGTACACCTACAGTTTCAGTGTGGTGCAACTCTTGTGGGCCGGCTAGAAAGTCTTCTACAGCTGAGACAAGTGAGCTAAGCTACGCTGAAACTGATGGAGAGCAGCATAGGTTAATTGTGGGAAACTATTAGCATTTGTTGTTTCTGCTGCTTTATTCTTTTTTTTTTTTTAAGTCTCCAGAGAAGATAGCTCACTCCTAATGCTTCCTTTTTTAATGCTGTTTCCAAAGAAAGATATGTCCCTGGGAAATAAGTTCTAATTTTAAGCTTGTTTTTAGCATGCCTACATGCAAGAACACATTGAGTTGTTTCGACTGGGGATTTTATTTTTTTAATCCATCAGGACCTAGAAGACACATTCTGGATGATAACTAATGATCACAGAATGGGAGAAAAAAACACAAATATGTTAGTTTTGGGAAATTTAATTTATAGGGTCAACTCCTTAGCTCTCCCAAAATGCCATGTCCCAGAAATTCCACCATTCAGAGGGACTGTGAGTTTAAAAAGACATGGTGATCATCCTGGGTGGGGTTTTTTTTTTTAAAACCCATGATGTTATTGACTGTAGGCTCTGGCAGGCATCGCCATTTTCAGTAGACCCCAACTGACATCACCATTAGCCATGAACCCAAGAATCCACCTGGAAAAGCCAAGTGGGGACACCAGACCTATCATTACATTTTGCAATTCAGTGAAATGTGTTGTGTCACTGTAGACCTGCCTATAATTCTTTATATTTGTTGCAATTGTTTAAATTGTTGGGAGGACTCCAAATCCAATTCTGTGTGTGAATACACACATTTACCTGCTCCCTCCCGACAATAAATTTCGCTTAGGCTTGCTGTAAAAGCTTATGCTGCAATGAATCTGTTAGTCTTTTAGTTTGCTAAATTGTTCTTGCTGTTTTTGCTACCGCAGCCTAGCACACAACTTCTCCTGTGAGATGTCAGACTTCTGAGGCACTTGTATACTTTCTTATTGTTAAAAGAATGTGGCTGCACATTTAGAAATAGCTCAAATGATATTATTGAAAGAGCACGAGCTTTATTGATTTTCTCCATACAATTTTCTCCATACCTTGGGCGATTTCGTTCTTCGCTGCCTTAGTGGCACAATAGACTTTCCGTTCCTTGTAAATTTTTACAGCTTGCTTTAAAATCTCCTGCTACAGCTGCCTTAGGAGTCTTCCTCTCTTCCTTCCCTGCTGGATTAACAAAACTGCAGCATGGAATTTGTGCTTCCTGCAACATCACCAGCTAACTTATCTGAAGCCTGCTGTCTGAATCATACTGCTCTTCCCTACTGTCTAAAAATCCCAAAAGATTCACCTTCAACTGTTGCATCCAATTGAATGGCTATGGAACTCCACTTGAAATTCTGGCACTGAAAATTTCTACTGCTAATCTCACAGAGCAAGCAGATTTTCTGCCTTTTATGTCTTTCAAGTGAAATAGCCACAAATAGATGAAGCTCAAGGATGGCAGAAACAGGCCATATGTAGTATCATACAACAGCTATTAATTAACTGACCAATTATTAACAGATTATTATTATTACCCCCAGTGCTTTGGGGAGTAAAAAAATGAGGTGACAGTATTCCTCTGTTGGTAAAAGATTCATAGGTTGCCAACACAGTGGCTGCCATAGACAGCAAAAAAGAAGAAGAGGTGAAGTGGTCTGAATGAGTGATTGCTGTCACACACAAAAACCTGTCTCCTATTGTTAGTTTGATTCAAGGAACCAGAAGCAAAGGAAAATAACCATTAGTGATGCTATACACACAGCAGATGTGTGTCATAAGCTATACACACAGCAGATGTGTGCCCAGAATGCAGCAGCTAGACTGGTGACTGGGAGCGGCCGCCAAGACCATATAACACCGGTCTTGAAAGACCTACACTGGCTCCCAGTACGTTTCCGAGCACAATTCAAAGTGTTGGTGCTGACCTTTAAAGCCCTAAACGACCTCGGTCCAGTATACCTGAAGGAGCGTCTCCATCCCCATCATTCTGCCCGGACACTGAGGTCCAGCTCCGAGGGCCTTCTGGCGGTTCCCTCCTTGCGAGAAGCCAAGTTACAGGGAACCAGGCAGAGTGCCTTCTCAGTAGTGGCACCCGCCCTGTGGAACGCCCTCTCACCTGATGTCAAAGAGAAAAACAACTGCCAGATTCTTAGAAGACATCTGAAGACAGCCCTGTTTAATGTTTGATCATGATCATGATCAAAAGCTGAAGGCAGCTTTTCATGTTTAAATAGGTTATTGTATTTTAATATTCCGTTGGAAGCCGCCCAGAGTGGCTGGGGAAACCCAGCCAGATGGATGGGGTATAAATAATAATAATTATTATTATCATAGCACATACTCAGTTGGTGGAATTCATTGCTGTAAGAGGCAGCGATGGCCGCAAGCTTAGATGGCTTTGAGAGAGAGAGGTCTAAGGAAGTCTGTGACTGCTAGTCATAATGGCTGCTTGCTTCATCCAGGCAATGAGGAACAGCTGTGGGAGAAGACTGCTGCCTTCATGTCCCGTGCAAAGTTGGCTCAGCTTTTTAGGCAGGGTGCGGCCACTGCCTCAGGCGGGAGGAGCCACCCAAACGGCATGCCTGCGGGCGCCCTGCCTGCCACGCTGTCTCCGCCGGCAGCAAAGAAGCAATGCCACCAGCAGACCATTTTGGGGCAACTCAACCCCCCTGTCTGATACTCTGCTAGCAGCAACTTATGGAAATATATTCTGAAGGCACTCGCTGAATGCTGCAATCTGTCTTGAATCCGAAGGCTGGCAAGGAGTGAAACTATATATATAGCGGCTAGCGTTGGTGCTCTGCTTTCCCTCAGGGGAAATGGCACTAAATTGTGGGCGTGTTTTGAACAATGAAAGCCAGTTTGACCCTCTTATTAGCAAGGCCGTTCTCTACTTATGTGTGCAACGTGTATAGTATTTAAAATACATTAATACTAAATGATCATGATCACACAGAGGTAATGCTTGGGTATAGGTGAACCAAACATAAAAGCAAGAGTTTTCTCTAGCACTCAAGAGAGGAAGCCAGAGCAGCAATTCAGATGCTGGAATTCCATACTGTATAGCTTTGCCTTTAGGTCTAAGGACACTGTCTTGTGTTTGCAGATGGCTGAACTGATATGACTTCTGCTTTGGGTTGTAAGGGCATTGCATGCTTGAGTCCCTGGACTGGCCCTTCCAGCTGTGCTTTATGTTTGCCTTAGAGGGAATTCCACTGACAGGGATTGCAGGCTGCAAACCATCAGACTCTTTCTCTAGAGGCTAGAGAAGGTAGCTGACAGAGGGCTACCAGCTGGTGGGCGCTGTAGTTCAAAACACCTGGAAGGTCTCAGTTTGGGGAAAACTGCCCTAAGTCATTACAAATAAAAGGTGTGTCAGAAGTGTTTGCTAGGCACAACGTCATGAATATTATAGCTGAATTTGTGTGCTGTGTCTTGGCCTTCTTGTTACATACATTTTGACTGTGTAAAATTTCATCCCTTGTGGAAATTCAGGGACAATTATGAAGCAGGCACAAATATCAGCTTCTTGATGAGTCTCTTTTAAGTTTTTACTCTCAGGATTGAGATATATAATTGCTCCTAAATGCCTGTTAACACGCACAGAAGCACAGCTGCATGACCGCAGAGACATACAGAAGCAAGTGCAGACCACTAATTTTTAACCTAAAAACATTTTAATTAAAAATTGGATGGGACGTATGATATGCAGGCTGGAAGAAGTTTCTTTATTAAATCAAATAAATAAAAAGTACTCCATGATAAAGCCAGTAAAACTTCATTATCCAAATTTCAATTAACCTAAATGCTATGCTAATTTTTTTGCAAAGAGCATTCCAGAAAGTCTCAGAATTGGATTAGAAAGGATCCGAGAGTTAAGGCTTGGGGCACATTGAGTTTTGTGCTTTGCCTGCTCTCCTTTGACATCATAGAGACGATCTTGCCAAGAGCTGGATGTCAGTGTGAAGAGAATCATCTCCAGGACCAAAACAAGTTGTCACATTTATTAATGAGTCACTGTTTGCTGTGGCCTCTCACACAATTTTAGGAACACCTCCAAAACATCCAGCCTCATGCTGAATTTTTAAGCCTTCCATTACAGTATGGGGAGGGGCTTCTTTCACAGCAGACACACACACAAAAATACCCATCCCTGTCTAACTATGTGCATTGAACCATTATTTGGCTGGCGAACTACATTGCAAAATTCAGAAGAGTGTGAATTTTGAAGGATGGCTTTGATTTGGTTCAATGAATTATTTTGAAAGGTGCAAATTAGGTAAATTCGCATTTAAATGTGAACGGAGTTGAATTTCTCCCTGACTCTACTTGTGATCCTTCTATTCACATTTATTCAGAAAGAAGCCTCACTGAGTTATATCTGAGTAAGGTATCGGAGTGGACCCATTATAATTAGTAGACCTAAGCTAGTGATGTCCATTAATGCCAATCAATCTTCTGTGAGTATGATTAACAATGAATACAACCCACTGTGTTCAGTGGGGTTTACACTTGAGCAACTGTGCATTAGAAAGTTCTTAGATGTGGATCATTGTCTTTAGAAGTCTCATCATCTTCAAAACATGCACCACTTACATTCTTGTAGTGCTTCAATCTAACGAAAGACATTCCATAAATTAAGTCAGGTCACATTTGTACTTATGTAAAATACAAAATAATTGCTTAAAGGTAAAGGGACTCCTGACCGTTAGGTTCAGTCGTGGACGACTCTGGGGTTGTGGCGCTCATCTCGCTTTAGTGGCTGAGGGAGCTGGCGTATGTGGCCAGCATGACTAAGCCGCTTCTGGAGAACCAGAGCAGCGCACGGAAACGCTGTTTACTTACATCTAACCAAAACAAAAGTGCCATTGCTAAGTACCTTGAAAAAATAGGTTGCTTCTCTGGATCCCATTGTGTAGATCAGAATGCTTGTCTTCAGGTCTATACTGGCCTCTGATTGTAGAACAAGCTGTAGGTGGAATGGTAAAGATCAGAAAATGGAACATAAACTGTAATCTATACTACAATACAGAAGAAGAAATGATAGCAAAATGTAAACTATAGTATTCAAGGGGATTATCCCCCCCCCAAATTTGGGGAAGCCAGGCAGACACATGGCAAAGGCTGATCTCAGGCTACATGGCTCATGCTTCGGCCTGCACAGTTGGATAGGACAAAACTTCAATGGTTAAAGGAAACTCCATTTTAATGTACAAAGCCTGCCTTTGCGCCCCACGGTGCATGCGTGATGACAAGCCTCTCTCTGAAGCTGTTACGAACATATCCTCAGGTAACAAACGGCAATAACTAACAGAAATATAAAGAGGTCTGTGCATTTAGAATTCAGCCTGCCAAGGTCCTTGCAGCTTACTTCTTAAAACGGATTTCTAGTCCCAAAAGGAAAAGGATGGTTCTGGTTTTGGAAGAAAGATGGGTGTGCGCAGGTCTGTGGTGCTGCAGACACAGAGAGCGCAGATGGGTGTTCCTCCCTGAAAGCAGTAAACACACAGCATTCTTTTGTTCCGTAATAAATTGCTGCTGCATTTGTGGTTATACATGGTTGAGTTAGGAGAATAAAAAAGGATTGGCTTCTACCCGTGATATCATGAACCTGTCATCTCACCCCAATCTCCAAAAAGGTTGGCTATCCCCCCCCCCCCCCCGGGCATGAGTCAGAAACACACTTACAAACATAGATGTGGCATTTAAAAACAATACTAAAATAAATGGTGGATAGGCTGCATGACTCACAAGGGGAAGACATGGGGCTGATTCAGCATTTGATTACCTACTGTGCTCATTACAAGTTGAAACTCCGGGGTTGGGGAGCACATACAGCAATCAATGAACCCTCAGAAAACTTTTTTCTGACCTTCGTCCACTCAATGGTTGTGGGAGGACAAGGGTTGCAGCAGGCCCAGCTTCGACACGCATGCATTCCTTTGAATGTATAACTGTACACATAGAGTGCTCCCTCCATTCAGAAAAAGCAGAGTTTTGATCATGCAGGGAAACGCCTGGTGCTCCTAGCAGGGCTGCAAATGAATCCGCAGAGTTCAGAAGTGAAGACAGCATTTGCCATCCTGTTTCCACCTCCTCTGTGCTTCAGTGAAGGTGTAAAAGGGGGTGGAGAAAGCTCTTGAAACTATGCCTCAGCCGTCATCCAGAGTTCCTTTTGTTACCTCTCCCTTCTTTTACGACAGTGGTTCTCAACCTGTGGGTCCCCAGATGTTGTTGGACTACAACTCCCATCATCCCTGAGCTCTGGCCTTGCTAGCTAGGGTGATGGGAGTTGTAGTTCAACAATATCTGGGGACCCACGGGTTGAGAAAGGCTGCTTTACGACATGGGTAGGCTACCTAAGGCCCGGGGGCCAGATCCCGCCCAATCGCCTTCTAAATCCAGCCCGCGGACGGTCCGGGAATCAGCGTGTTTTTACATGAGTAGAATGTGTCCTTTTATTTAAAATGCATCTCTGGGTTATTTGTGGGGCCTGCCTGGTGTTTTTACATGAGTAGAATGGGTGCTTTTATTTAAAACGCATCTCTGGGTTATTTGTGGGGCATAGGAATTCGTTCATTTTTCCCCCTTCAAAATATAGTCTGGCCCCCCCACAAGGTCTGAGGGCAGTGGACCGGCCCCCCGCTGAAAAAGTTTGCTGACCCCTGCTTTACATTCATGTACTCACAGCTCTGGTGACCAGCACACAGCGAACATACCAGAAGCACTTCTCATGTACACACATCAGAGTTAGTGGCACTGAACTCCACAAAGCATGGAGGGGAGACTTGGGTTTCCAACTGTTAGGGGACAGGCAGAGGGCACAAGGGAATCATGACTGCCCACAGTTCCCTCATACCAGCTTGCTGTGCCTCCTATCAGTTTGGAGGATACCTCTCTCCTTCCTACTTGACAGCAAGCCTGTCCAGCTGGCGAGCCACCAGCCTGAATTCAATCTGTCAGGCATGGATTGCCATTCCTCCTTTTCCCCCATCTCCAAGGAGGTAAGAGATTTGTCAGAGCCTCGACTGGGCTACATTAGTCAGCCCCAACTGTGCAGGCCCCACTCTCTGGCGTTTGAGCACAATGCACATCAGTACATCAGAATCAACACAAAGCATGCTTGCTGCATGAAGTATACCTTGATTCTAAGACAAACTTCCTATGGAAACATTTGATGAACAGGATTGGTTTAGATTTCATTTTTGACTTAGCTCTATTCATTCAAAGCAATTACCAAGAGGTGGCTTTCAAGTAAAAAAATACACTATTTTAAAAACACAGTTTAATAACGACAGCTCTAATTGTCTCTAGCACGAGCCCATTCCAGCTACTTGAAAGGCAAGGTAACCTCATCCCTGAAAACCATCCTATTAGTGAGGCTACCATTTCTTTAGTTATTTTCTGCTTGATAACCTCCTTCTCCCAAACCCTTAATTAGGTATCTTATCTAGCTCTGTGAAATCCAATACAGGTTAAGAGCTGGTTTTACAGCTGGTCAAATTAAAAAAAAACAAACCAGCATGGTTGAATTTCAGAGGGAGCTTTAATAATCTCGTACAAATCCCTTCCTCCAATCTTGCTCTGTTCATTCAAGCGGGCTCCTTACATTTCTGCAAGTAAGCGAGGCTGATAGATTGCCTGAAGTAGCTCTGAGTAGAACCACATCCAAACAACCTCAGTAAGAGGACGGCCATCAGAAAGCAAAGGGGTTTGTATTCTTATGTCCAGTCTTTTGGTTTCATTACACATATAGAGTGGTTGGGGTGCTAAACCTGTTCCTGAAATATATTGCAAGGGGATAGTGCGTTTCCAATCAAACCTTTATTGCTACAGTCAGTGACCAGCATAAAAAAGCAAAATAAAAACACATAATCCAGATGTGTAATTTAGAGGAAAATAAAATAAAGAAGCATAGAATAAAGTAACTAATCACCTATTCTTCCCTAAGTAACCTCTCCTTGTCACATGATCTCTGTCACCTGATATCAACAGCTGGCTGAGGTATAATGAACTCTTCGACTGCTCAGACATGTGTGGGAAGGAGGAGCGTATCTTGTGTGGTGTTAACAGCACAAAACAGATCTGGAGGCAAGTGCCAGAAGAGCCAAAATACTGCTTGCTCCTTCGTGGAAAGGGGCTTCAGAAAATATATTTTCATTGCAGAATTCTGCTTTATTACAGGAAGATTTATATATACAAAAGGATACCACACCGTGTGTTGCCAGGGCAGCTGTGCCTGAGGGCAGTTCAACAGATGAAGCATCATTATAAAGTTGAGGGAGCATCACCCAATGGATTTCTGACTTGGCATGCAAACACTTATTTAGGCAGATCAGTGGGAACAGGGTACACCAGAGCTTCCCAAACTTTTCATGTTGGTGACACACTTTTTAGACCTGCATCATTTCGTGACACACTAATTCAGTTTTACTAGCAAACCAGAGGTTAAACCTTTGCAGCCCCTGGAGGAGCATGGAGAGTGTTTGCGTGAGACAACTACACACTGCAGCCAACACAGTTTGGAAAGCTCTGGGGAACACCTTTGAATAAATAAAAGGAGCTCTGCTGGAGCAGACCAATTGCCCACATTGTCAAGCATCCTGTAGCCCACAGCAGCCAACCAGACTGCCGGGATCTCCGCTCGGCCAAGCCAATAAAGCTCATTTTCCTCCGGCGGAGTCTTTCGGAATCGCCTCCAACGTGATTAACGACCTGAGCCTTTGATGAGGCCTCAGGCACATTCCCATCCAGCAGAGAATCACAGCAGCACGCGGAAGTGATGAGAATTATGGCTACATTGCAAAGAGTTTTATTTTCCTAACTACGCAGACGAAAAACACTTCCTCTCTCTGTGAGAGCAGACAGCAACTGAACAACAAAGGAACAGGAAACCACTAACGTCACATCCGTCTCCTGTCTCCCGTGAGACTTCCAACAGTATGGAATGTGTGGAATGTAAACAGAGTCTTGTGACTGCAAAGCACTGCTCAGTGGCAAACAGAAACTAACACAGACGCCCCTCAGAAGCCCACAAACAGGGCGTGAAAGGCAATAGTCCTGTCGTGCTGTTAATCCCCAGCATCTGGCACCAACAAAGGCATACTGTATCTGGTGGATGCATATAGCCATAATGATTTGTAGCCATTGGTGGCTTTTTGCCCACATGAAATTGTCTGATCCCCTCTTAAAAAGCATCTTTTGCCTGCCCTGGCTCTCTAATAACTGACTATAATGCACTCTCCCCATTAGTGCAGATGAAAGGTCCCACTTCCATCCATCAGATGCATATTCTCATATGGCAGCAGCTTCTTATGTGGATCCCAGTGGATTACTAACCAAGGGGCATGGCTGTCTTTGGAAAAGGAAAAATGGGAGAGGGAAGCTGCTAGTTGCCAAAGCTTCTTTATTCCATAAATTAAATGTTGGGGAGAACAGCAGTTCAATGGTAGAGCATGTGATTTGCCTGCAGATGATCCTCAGCTTAATCCCTGGCATCTGCAGTTCAAAGGATCTAGCAGCAGCTGCTGGGAAGTACCTCTGCCTGGCAAACACAGCCGGCCCTACCATTAGGCAAAGTGAGATTATCATCTCAGGCAGCAAACGCCGGGGAGGGGGAGACAGAAGCAGCCCTCAGCTGTTGCTTCTAAGCCCCCCAGGTATTTCCCTGTTGCCACATGGCCTGGCCTGCTGTCTCAGGTGCAGCAAAAGGATGCTATACTCTCAAAAGTGTACAGTGCAGTCATCTTTTGTATGTGGAATGAGGAGATGCCACCTTTATATCCTTTGCCTCAGGCAGCAAAATGTATTGAGCTGGCCCTGCTGGAGAACCACTGGCAATCAAAGCATACAGTTCTGGGTTAGATGGAGAAATAATCTGGAACCAGTGTGCCAGGTCTTGCCCCCTAAGCAAGACAGAGGGTTTTTAAGCTGTCCAGCATGTTTTCAGGGATCTAGGAGGCGCTTTCGGAGCCCAGTAAGCAAGGCAGAGAGCTTAAAAGCTCTTTCCACACTGGGAAAACCCTGCACAAAAAGAGCTTTTAATCTCTCCACCTTCCATGCATTTAATTTGTGCGATTTCAACTGGCCAGTCCTCAGCTGCATAAAAGTTGAAACTGCACGTGTTAAACGTGTGTACATTGTAAGTTATCCGCACTCTTTGGTCGTGCTGCTAAGAGATACTTAACAGACCTGGCTTGAGGCGTTCCTGGCTGGAAGCATTAAGTTAATGGCATTAACTTTAGGAATCTCTTTTTCTACAGAACCCCAGCTTAGAGATGTGAAACCACAGGCTTGGGAGGGGGAGACCCCAAGATGGCATCCAGACTGATAGATGTACACCCCAAATCCTGTAGCAAAGCAACCATTCTTCTTCAGGGGCAACAATTGCACAAAGCCACACAAAAGCAAAAGTTTGCCTGGCTGAATTAGTGTATTGACATTGGCCCTGAGGAAGATGATAGCTCAAATCTAAAAGTGCACTGGATTATAGGATCAATAACTTACAGCGCCCAGTGGCTCCCTCCCTGCCCCTCACACCCTCCCCATCCTTCCTGATTCAGAGACAGTCACACAGAACAAAAAAAATGTGCAAAGAACAATCCTTTGCCATGGCCCCAGAGATGGTATACAGATGTGCCTTTGATGGATGTGAGTCTTTCTTCTGTACTGTGTAGAAGTGATGAGGATTAGCCATAGGTACACCCTGTTCCAACTGAAAGATGTGACTCAAGAAGCACAGTGCATGGGATTTACAGAATCAATACCTGATCATGACCAGATGCTTCTTGTCTCTTTTGTGTCAGTAGACTACTGCTAAGAAGCCTTCCCTCTTTTTTCTTCTATTTCTGGATCAGGACCATGATATATTAGACCTCAGTTCCACACACACTTATCTGGAAGTAAGCCCCATTGAACTCAGGTGGGCTTACCTCTGAATATTTTTATTTTATTTATTATTATCATCATTATTATTTCTTTCATTTTTATACTGCTTTATATCTTAAGAAAAAGCCTCAGAGTGCTTTGCAACACATTAAAACATCAAATAAATCAACCCAGAACAAACATTACTGAACAAAGTCAAATATAAAGTATACATTCAAAACAACATAATTAACGGGAAACTAAAATATTACCATAAGGATTTCAAAATAAGACATTACAAAGGAGGGCAACCAAAGTAGGCACGTTTAATGCAGCAAAATCAACAACAGAAAATTATATTAAAGATTTCAAAAGAAATCATGACCAAAAGAAGTCAAATAGAAAATGCACATTTAAAACAGCATAATTAGCAAGAGAATAAAATAGGCATATAATATATCTGCTGCCAATCCTGCCAGTGGTAGTTCATGGCAGACAACAGCTGTGGAAGCTCAGACTCGATGATCTGGGTCTGCACTAAGAGACAGCCAAGCTGCTCTCTGATCTTTTCAGCAGCCTGAGCTTTTGTAGCTGGAGTCAGTCTGGGCCCCGCCCACCCAGGCCAGGTAGAAAAAGGCGTGCAGGGCAGGGAGCTTATTAACGTTTATTTTTAAAAGTTGCTATCCATTCCTGCCCTTTAAGATACTCTGAATGCAGATATGATAAACTAAGGTATGTTGCCCAAGTACATCTGTTCTTAACATCACATCTGCAGCGACTAGATGTTCTAGGATTGAAGAAAGAGGGACAAAGTTAAAAACTGGATCACTTGGGCTATATTTTTTATTGTAAAATCTAATATTGTATTCATTTATTACAACTATGAAGCCAATTGCAAATCAAATCATGGTTACAGCAATGCATAACCTTTCCCATAAGACACAGGGTTGTGTTTTGAGAGGCAGTTATGATTTGCAGACAAGGAGCTCTTTTTCTCAGCTGAGCTGTAGTGTATTCTTTTAGAAAATAAAGAGAAAGTAAACCATCCCTTTGTGGGTGGGGGGACCAGGCGTAGGTCTGTTGATTCTGCACAGTTGTATTAAGACTGGAGGTTTGTGAAGTACTGTAAGGCTGAGACCTGTTTGAGCTTTGCAGGAGGTCACTTGGATGCATGGAAACTATTGATATTCTGTAATTAAATTATTTCTGTTCCTCTGACAGGGACAAACGCTAAACATGGACTGCGCTGCAAGGCATGCAAGCTGAGCATTCACCACAGATGTGCAGAGAGCATTGGACAGCAACGCTGCATGGGCAAACTGGTAATGCAGTAATTGGATAATTATATATATATATAGAAGGCAGTAATTGGATCAAACACAGCCACAAACCAGACAGGGCAATACATATGGCCCAGCAGGTCCCACCTAATGTCTTGGCTGAATTGAAGAAACACACAGTGCTTAGAAAAAGATAATCTAGCAAGAAACTTATTCTAGGCACAGAATTCAAAAATCATACTCCAAACATGCCAACCCTGAGAAATATAGACTCTTACAGGCTCAGTTAAACAAGAGTTGTTGCTTTTCAGACAGGGCTACAGCAGGGATGGCTTCAGGACTGGGCATTGTTGGACATTTGCCAAGGCCCATATTTCTACGGCGGGCTCACTGCTTATCCCATAGTCTCCAACTGCCCCCCAAATGCCAGGACCCATGCTGAAAACCCTTAAGCCACCATAGCTTCTCACTTTGTCATGCAGAGTCCCAGATTCCCAAATGCAAGCCTTTCCTACTGCCAACGGCCAAAACAAACCCCTCAAATCTTTACCTTCATTGCTCCTTCCATCTCTTGGCCAGGGAAAGAGCAAAGCAGCAACCTACTTTGGGTTCTCATTTGCACACCCTTGCAAAGCTGCTCAGCATGGTCTGCTCTGTGTCCAAACCTCTTAGGTCCCTGCCCCTATTTCTTTGCATTGCTCCCTTGCCTTCCATTGCCAGTTTCATTTGGGAACCTGAAGTGTCACCGAGCTGCCACCCACCTCTGTGTGTAGCGAGCAGCCTCTTTGGCTTCTGCTTTGAGAGAGATGCAGAGATCTGATCCTGTAGCTTGGCTCTCTTTGTGGCTTAAAATGAACTGGACTAGATTCCTAGAGAGGAAGGGGGTTTGAGGAGATGGGGAGGCGTCCTCCAGAGCAAAAACGCCTCCCTTCAAAACCCCTTCCTGCCTGGCTACTCCTGTGGATGGGGGAAATGGCATTTATCTCCCCCATGAGCTAAATTGATGGCACCTTCTGAAATCCCATTTTGTCTCCCCATTTTGTGCATTTGGGTGCAGCTGATCCATCCAGGATTCACCACACCACAGAGTGGTTTTTGCTGGCAGAAAAGAAACACCTACTGCTTATACAGGGAATCTGCTTTGCATAATTAGCACCTAGTTAGTCAGATCTAATTTATTTGCTTTATAGCCTTAGACACCAAGTGAGGCATTTTTATACACTAGGCTTTTAAATCTTCTAATTCAGGCTGGTCTTTTTTTATTAGCTGCTTTGTATTTCTGGGTTATAAATGATGTTTTATTGGCACAATTGAGCATAGAAGCTTGCCACCCCACCCCACCCCCTCAAAAGAGGACATCTACCAGGAAGGGGAAGCCTTCAAAATATTTCCAATTAAAAATGAAACATACTTCCCCTCAGTATGAATGCTAAAGTACAAAACTTAATTTATATGTTCTTATGATCTGGATCCCATGCAGATCCAGCAACAGGAAGGAATTTACAGCTTTCAGCTTTGCAGTAAAAAGTAAAGTTGCCCCAGTAAAGCAGGAATAGGGAACATGTCAGTGCTGTTGAACTCCAATTCCCATCATCACGATTGACTCTGTTGGTTGGGACTGATGGGAATTTGAGTCCAACAACCTTGGGAAGGCCATAGGCTCCCGACTTCTGCACTAAAGAATTAGCAGATACAGTGGTACCTCACATTACAGAAGCTTCAGATTACAGACTCCGCTAACCCAGAAATAGTACCTTGGGTTAAGAACTTTGCTTCAGGATGAGAACAGAAATTGTGCTCTGGTGGCACGGCGGCAGTGAGAGGCCCCATTAGCTAAAGTGATACCTCAGGTTAAGAACAGTTTCAGGTTAAGAATGGACCTCCAGAATGAATTAAGTTCTTAACCCAAGGTACCACTGTATACCATATTACTGTAGCTTCATTGTACTCCCGCTGAACCTAGCAACCCCATTGAACTGAATGGGTCGTGATTGCCTTATATTCATTCTCTCTCTCGCTCTCTCGTTTGCTCACTCTCTAGCCCAAAGGCTTTCGCCGCTACTACAGCTCTCCGCTACTCATTCACGAGCAATTTGGCTGCATCAAAGAAGTAATGCCTATTGGTAAGTTCAGATAGAGTCTTGTTTTGTTAATGGTCCCTGCCCCCCAATTCTGCAAGTTGTAGCGTTCATTGATATCGCAAAGGCTTCTGTGCCCTTTTGCGAATGATGCCTAATCACAGCAAGACTTTGACTGAGTCCCTGCCCAGGTAATTCCCTCTGGGAGAACAAAAACTTCACAAGGTTAGCAAACATCATTTCATTCCACAGAGCAAGAGTGGGGAATAATCATTTTCAGTCTCTCCAAGACAACCTTCATTGGAGGCCACATGCCAATGGTGGCTGGGGCCAAGGGCCAAAGTAGGCAGAGCAACAAATGTAAGTTTCACCTTTGTGCAGTAGGCTAGTTTCTACAGACACTCCTCTCTAATCTCCACCCAGAGGCATTACCAGAGTTCACAGGTACATTCCAGCCAGGCAAAAAGACACAGAGTCCAAAGCAGAGCCAGTGAGAGGCATGTAGGGAGAGGAGGCATGGCCTGGGAGAATTCTGATACAGAGTCCTGGAGAGTTATATTTGGCTCCAGGGTCCGACCTTCCCCATCCCTGATGCAGAGGTTGCGAGGCTCAGAATGCCATAAAGAAACAATGCTATCCAGGGTTGTAAAGACTGCAGAGAGAATAATTGGGTGCACTCTTCCCACCTTAGATCAAATCTATGCTTCCAGGTGCCATAAGAAAGCGGCAGAGATAGCACAGGATAGTACGCACCCCGGAAATGATCTCTTTCAGCTTCTGCCCTCTGGAAGAAGATATAGGGTTATAAAGGCCAGGACTAGCCGCCTGAGAAATAGTTTCTACGCAAATGCAATTCTGGTTCTAAACGCAGCATAAGGGGTCTCTATAGTATAGTATAGTATAGTATAGTATAGTATAGTATAGTATAGTACAGTACAGTACAGTACAGTACTGTATAGTATAGTATTTTAAAATGGGGTTTCAGAGTTTTTAGGGGGTTTTGAATGTTTTATGTAGTTTTTATGTAGTTTTATGTAGTTTTATGTAGTTTTTCAATTTCATTGTTCTGCATTGGACAATGACAATAAAGATATCGTGTATATATATTGTATAAGAAAGTGACTGGCAAATAAACTTAATCAAATTACTGAGTAAGAAGCTCTAAGGAGTGGATTTCAAATGAATACAGAGGTCACAAACCAAGGTGAGGTCTCAGGTGACAAATCTGGGGTACCATCCCAAGTAAGAAACAGAACTGACCCTGGAGCACACGAAAAATTAGTAGCGTTTCTGTTTTCTGCAAGTCACATTGAGACGAATAAGAGTTTACCAAGTGCACTAGCACTGTGAGCTTCCCAGTGGATTTGGGCCCATATTGATCAGCGGGAGCAGTTAGCATTTAGATTTTTCCATCGCAGGCACCAGAATGTCTTGAGTCATCCTTGAATGAACGGAAAGTCAAAGATGAGGAGCAAGATATGGGTTGCCCATGTCTTGGCAAAATTAAAAGTAGTCACTGCCCAAAGCCTGGGATGCCCAAGTCATCCAGTGAGTGCCCATTTGGACATTAGCATCCCTGGTCCTATAATGACATTCTGAACCCTTACAACACATTATGGGTTTGTTGTTATGTTTCTTACTGTTTATTTGATCCATTGTGAGCTACTTTGAGCAGAGTTTTGCAGAAAACTGGCATACAAATAAACAGGTAGCGCTGATACTGATCCCACTGGCTCTCTTTCCAGATGTTTGGCAGAGACCTGGTTCCTGGACTTGGACCCTCTGCTGAACATCTGTTTTGGTCCATGGCCCAGGTGGATGTTAGTTTCCATCTTGAAAGGATAAGCAATATTTTTCAAGGAGGAAGAAGAACACTTTTAACGTCCTATCTTTTCTCCCTTCTTATCTGTGTTTCTTTTGCAGCTTGTGGCAATAAGGTTGACCCCGTCTATGAAACACTTCGCTTTGGAACTTCCTTAGCCCAAAAAATGAAGAAAGGCAGTTCTGGGAGCAGCTCAGATTCACCAAAAAGGAACTCAGTAAGTGTGCTGTTTTGGGTTGTTGCCAATTTTTTCCATAGTATATCCACCTACTTTCCCCAGAAAGGACTTGGGTGCCTGGTTACGTGCCACTTCTTACTATTAGTTACTAAACCTTTTCTGCAGGCGCCTGATTTCTTTGGGAATGATATATACTGCTTCACTGCCTGTACCTTGGTTGGTAATTTAACATTCTCTAATAAAAAAAATAAAGATCTGAGCATCCCCATTCATAATCACTCTGCCTGACACAGTGCTGATGGTGGTTTTTCAAACAGTGCCACCAATTTATAAGGGGTTCATAGTAGGCAAAAAAAGAAGACAAACCCTTGCCCCAATTTTAAAATATTGGAAAAGATGGACAGCAGAAGAAAGGTACAGGCAATGATAGTAAATAACAGGAAGCCAGCAAGAATGGGAGAGGCAATGGCAAGGAGGCGTTGATGTGAACAAATGCAGCTATTTGCACTGAGGGTTTTGGACTAAAATGTTTGTGGAAACGAGGAGGCAAATGATAAAGAGAATGAGAGGCATCACCATATAGTTGCTCCAGGAGAGAATTCCATGCATAAGGGGCAGCAACTGAGAATGGACAGAATAATTTAAGATGTGAGATCTTCAGGTGGGTGAGGATGGTAGAGTTGATGGAACAACACCGCCATCAGAAACCCCACACAGGTGGGCTTTGACACAAATTCCATAGAATAAAAATCCACCCTCAGTAGAATCTGGCTGGCATAGCCAGCAGAATGAAACAAAAGAACAGTCTTTAAATGACTCTGTAAGAGAGAGAGAAACAGAAACAGAACAGATGGGAAATCCCATTTTATGGGTTTGATTTAGAACACTGATAGAAAAACAAGGCCAGAACTATTTTTGATAATTATGGGGAAGCCAACAGTCTCAAAAGACTTGAAATGCTTACTTCTGCAAAAGGGATTCACTGTGCACTGCACAGGTAGGATTGTGAATGATCACCAGCATTTCTATTTAAAAAACCCCGAAAAACAGAAGCTTGGACCTACTATAGGATCATGATGCTGTACACAGTGCTGCGGTCATGCAAAGCAGATGACTGCTTTAAAAATATTATTTCAGCAAACCTACCTTTGCATGTAATTTTGTTATGTACACTTATTTTTTAATTCTGTTGATTTTATGTCTATTTTAGTAATTTTTATGTGTATACTTATTTTTAGACCTTGCTAATTTTATGGTGTTTTTTTAATAAATATTTTATTGAACATTTTGTTAAATAAATGAAATAAAACTGGCTTGTCTAATAATCACCTGGCAGAGGACTGAGAGGATCTCTCAGTTGTCATCCCACTCTCCTGCCTGTGTTGAACTTCTCTTCTGCTCTTGAATTTTGGTATTATAAAACACGCATAGACTCCCCAGGGCTGGTACAGCATTAGCCCCTGAAAGCCCCTGAGACACCAAACCCCTGAGCCAGCCCTTCCGTGGGTAGCCCACTGCCTCTACCACCAGGGGAGAAGTGGCTACAGCACTGGCACCTATTTCGGGCCAGATATTGCAGAGCGGACAAGAGCTGACCCAAAATCTGCAAGATCTGACCCAAAATTGGCACCAGTGCTGGAAGCAGAGGCAACGGTGCAGGCGGCACAGGCGGCAGCAGCAGGTAGGGTGGCACCTCATTTCGTCTTAAGCGGCAAAATGGAACCCACCACCCCTCACACACAAACACACTTCTTAGTCTCCAGTGGAAAAAAAGTAGTGTTTGGAGGGGTGGATAGTTGGCCTGCGCATTCTTTAGCATTTCAACATGACAGCAGTGGCAAGGCTGGATTCACCTTCAGACTAAATACGCTCTAGAGCAGGGTCTCTGTTAAACTGGAAACCCTAAATCCACTGAAATTGCCTTTGTGTAAAAAAAAAAAAAAGTAGTGTGTTGTGCTCCATGAACTTGGCTACTTTGAAATTCCCTACAGCTTTCCATAAGATGGGTAGATTTCAAGTATACGCTGTGCAGGGCAAATATTTTTAACTCTATATTCCTAAGAACTAATCCGTTTCTATCTACTTTCACCACAAGCTTTAATACTTCGAAATAGGAGAGATAAGCAAAAGAATAACACGTATACAGCTGTGGAAAACAGACGGGGGATTCCTAACTTTCAAGTTCCTCCAAATGCAAACCAATTGTACACTTAGGTTCATTCCTTAGTATGGCCTCTGCCGGCGTTCACTGCTGTTAAGGCATTGAAAATGAACCTCTCTAGTGACCAGTGAATGTTGAAATAGAGGCCTAAATGGTGTCTCTGGGCAGACTCCATTCTCACCAGCCACCCAGTTTACAGTTCCTCAGGAGTAAGTGTGTGCTTGTGTCTTCCATTGGGAAGAGCTGCTGTTCTGCAGGAATTCCACAGCTGCTAACGTTGCTGCTATTCCACTAAACTCATCTACATGGAGACCTTTGCGTATTCCTAGAGAAATGGCCCTATTATAAACCCTCACAACTTATGAATGTTGTGTTTCCCCAAAGCAAATGCTAGCTTTGTTCAAACGTTGTGATCTTTCCTCTTCGTTTCTTTAGCTTGTCCACAGACCAGAATTTCCACAAATGTAATTGTTTCTTGTCAAATCGGTAAAGCTTTCTGTTAAGTAATAAATGATTACTCAAGCATGCAAAACATGAACATATTGCCAGCTTGCCTTGAAATTTTGATCAGATGGGGAGTGGGTGTAAGTACAGAATGCAATACGTCGTGGGATTTACTCCTTGGCAAGGCAGGCTGTCAAGTAGTGGATTACGCATAAGTGTGTAGTACTTAAAACCACAGTCTTATTTGGAAGAAAACACATGAACTTCAGATCACTTGAGCGTGGGATTTCAGGATCCATGAACGTATAGAGCAGGCATGGCCAAACTTGGCCCTCCAGATGTTTTGGGACTACAACTCCCATCATCCCTAGCTAACAGGACCAGTGGTCAGGGATGATGGGAATTGTAGTCCCAAAACATCTGGAGGGCCAAGTTTGGCCATGCCTGGCAGTGATGCAAGATCAAGACAATGTATCATCATTGCAATAAACAGCTCTGGCAACCAATCCATTTCAAATATAGCAATCCAAGCAATTATTTCATTTCAGTAATATTAACAGTGATATCCAACAGCTTCCTAACAGCACTAGCCTTTGGGTCCCTGGGACTGTTCCTAAGACCTGTCAGTTCAATCAGTCACAATGGAGAGGCAGCTTACAAGTAAACAGACATGGGATAGAACTGTTCAACACCTACTGTGTATGCATCTATCAACCTCTACCTCTGTCCAAAAGCCAGTACCCGATAATTTGTCAAGTTCTGATGTGACCACAAAAAAGAACCTAGAATGAGACTGTGCAGGCAAGGGGGTGGAGCTATGCAAATGGAGTGCTGTGCAGATGAGCAGGTGGACTTGATTCTCAACAGATGCAGTCAGTGCAGTCTAGACTCCAGAGAACACCCTTTAGATCCCAGAGCATACCCTTTTAGGGAAAGGATAGAAATAAGGCACATGGTTGCAGTAGTGCAAAACCTGTCCGCTTCCCCAGGCACCAGATGGCTATACCAGACACTATACTCTCCAGAGGTCTTGCAGGATCTCCCTTCATGTGCGCTTCCAGTCATAAATACATTTTGTTGCATGATAATTTATGTTGTGCTCCTTGCTAGTTGTTGCTGAGATGATGGAATTATAATCTACTGCATATGTAAACTCCAAAAACCACATGTCCTTTTCCCTTAACTCCATTTTCCTCTCCTGTGTAAACAAAGAGCCCTGTTTGAATTAGATTCAGCATCTAGGTCTACAACGCATCTCAAATGTCCTGCTATTCTCCCATCAAATATTTGAACTCTGCCTCTCAATAACATTTTGTCATCAGTGTTGACACTTCCTGATTCCTTCCACACCCACCACCAAGCTGTTGCCATGTGCTTCAATCTCTTGCGCATCTATTTCTCATTTTTGCTCATTTTCCCGCTTTCAAACCCCTTCTCCTCATTCCTTACAGACATCAGATTTGGCAGAAGTTCCCGAGGAAGGTGATAGTCCTGGAAGCGTATTGGACGTAAACAGGAAACGCAGCAATAGTGGTATGTGGAAAGCTCAGGTGTTCGGTGGCCCCAAACAATCTTCAAACCAAGGAAAAATAATTATAGTCCCCATTAAATGTTTTCAGATCCCTGTTTATCATTCACCTGTTCTACCTTTAAAAGAAACTGTTGCCTGTGCGATCTAGCTGACTTGGCCTTGTATGAGTAACTTGTTGACAGATCTGACTGTGTGTACCCCAACACACACCAGCGGGACATTAACCATTCCTTTGAACAGCATTGGATTTCTTTACAGTCAGAAGCTCAGCACATAAATTATACACCAGGTACTCCAAAATGTTCCTCTTAGAATATTTACTGAATTGCCCATGCTGTCTGCACAGACCTTTTGTCATGTTCCTGAAGCTCCCATGTCCCCAAGGCTTCTGGCATGCAGGCATATGAAAAGGAATATACTTCAGGGCCAATGTTCTAGTTCAGTGGCTTATTAACCATACTTACTCTGCACTTTCCAGGCGCTTTAAAGCTCTGTGTCAAAGTGCTCTCTCTCTGTGCAGCTTTCCCTGCAAAAACCCGCTCTTTAAAGTTGAATTGGAGCAAACAACAATCTGCAGAAAACCCGAATTGCCGTTCGTTGCACTTCAGCTTTAAAAAGCAGGTCTTTGCAGGGAAACCTCTGGAGAGAGAAAAAAGTGCTCAGCCATGGAGCTTGTGGAAAGAGCTGTGGCTTGAAAGCAGGGCAAAAGTGCAGATAAGCCCAGTACAAGGGCATATCCTATGTCATATATCTTAGGTGATCTTGGGATTTGGTTTGCGTCAAGCAGTCACCCCTGCTGTCTGGTGCACCCATCTTCACCCACTGCATTTAATATTTCTATAGACTGCACAGTTTGTGCATGAGTGTAGACACATGTAGACCCCTATGCAAACATGAAATCCAGTCCACAAATGACAAGTAGGGATAGGGACAGAATGGGCATTCCATGGCAGGTCTGTCAGGAAAATTGGTCCATCTAGTTGAGCGTATTCTACACGGATTTTTCTCAACCGTTCCTGGAGACAACAGGAATGGAACTAGGGACCATCAAGGCAGATGCTCCAACACTTGAGCCACAGTCCTTCTCTTGTTTCTTATGTCTAACATTTTTGCAAGACACATCATGTGGCCCGATGGAGTTAAATATTCAGTGCAGGGGAAGGTAGCCTACAAATGCTGATTTCTGGTCTTTTTGGATGCATGAGAAAATAGCCTCTTCCTTAGCTCAAAGCCATACTGTAGTGGATCAGATACTAAAATAAATTTCATTTGTGTAATTTTCAAGATCCTCTGGCACGTGAGCATCATTTCCATTTTGTTTGTTTTTTAAAATCTCCCAGCAAGAGTTGCTACATGAGCCAGCTCCTGGTGGGTATTCAATAATGAGGCTGGTCAGGCAGGTGTTCATGGCCACAGAAAAGCTGTATTTGCCGCCACATGTGGCAAGAAGTCATCCAGCATTACAAAGAGCTAATGGAAACATTTCACACCAGAGACACAGTATGCAACTGCCTTTGATTATGGAACTGTTCTTTGAGATGACAGGTTGGTGCTATTAATAGTGTGGGTGCTATTCATAGACGCTATTAATAGCTGCTGCAGTACTTTGCATATAAAACCCCAAGCAGGGTTTAGCACTACCAAGGATTCACCAGTGGTGGAGATGTAGAGTAGAGACGGCTAAAGAGCAACGTGATGACAACTGACGATCACATGTGGATGTGGACAATCCCACATAACCATTAAAGGCTTACAGAAATATCAGTAGGAGCACATCAAAGTCAACTGTTTTGCTATTTCATTTGCAGAAGGTGCTGTGCATTATGAGCGAAGTTTCGAAATGAAAGCAGAAAGATAATAGCATTGGAATAAAAGAAACACGTGAAACAAATGGCTGGCTTGTTTGGCAGCTAGGATTTTGGTCCTAATTTTTGTTGTCCCCTTAATTACAGTGTTCACATACTCAGTAAATGGTACCGCGGACTTTGGAGATGAACCGAAGAAAATAAACTCCATGCTACAGGTGATTTTTTTTTTAATGTGACAATAAAGCTGCAATTTTGTACCTACTTTCCTGGGAGCAAGCCCCATGGGATTCAATGGGACCTACATTTAAGTAGGCGTGTATATAGACTGTGCTGTAACAAAGCCGAAATTAAATTTCACATTCCTATGAAGAAGGTGGTTTTTACATATAGGTCAGTTTGGGATCACATAGTAGCAAAGTGACTCCTATGAGCGTCTATGAATGAGGCCTTATTTATGCCCATGACAAAGTGATTAACAGATTCTAAAGCATGGAGCCCACTGCCAAAATCCAGAAATCCGGCAGCTTGTTAATTCTGTTTCAAAATTAGTCTAGAGACTGTGAAATAATAGATTTTCCCCATTTGGGTTCTCCATCCGGAAGCCAAGTTAAGATAAACATGGCAGTATATTTGGCTCAAACTTGACTATTACTCCCAATGGCTGTATAAACAGAACCACCCTACATCAAATCAGTACCTCATTTTCAGAGTGCATGTTGCTGAATTTGTCTTCAGCTTTGTTCTATACATAACGCTACTGTTAAAGATCAAGTTCCAATATCTCCTCTTCTTTCTTTTTTTTCCATGCCGAAGGGATCTCTCAGTAAAGATGCAGTACAGACAAATGCCTATGTTGCCTTGTACAAATTTGTACCACAAGAGAATGAAGACTTGGAAATGAGGTAGACTTGTGTATTTTATTAATGGGAATTGGGAAGAACGCAGATCTGACCTGCTGTGTAGATGTGTTCATGTAACAGCAGGGCCAAGCCAGCCCAAAGGCCACAATTCCTCGAGGGTAACTTTCCAGGGTACACACATGCCAATAATGAGCAGAAGGCCAAAGGAAAAAGTAGGTAGGGACAGAAGCCAAAGTGGACAGAGCAAGAGTAAATTTGTGCAGTAGGCTGTATTCCAGCCACGCTTTCTACAGACACGTCTCTCTCCATCTTCCAGACAAGGAAAGCAAGAGGTATTATCAATGTTCAAGGACCCATTCCTGCCAGGAAAAACACTTAAGGAGCGCTGGTGTGAGTTGTGGCCTTCAAGGAGGTTAGTGAAGGCTGAATTGAGAGGCTAGATAGCATCCCTCTCTACTTCTGCAGCTATTCAGGCTCCATCCACCACAACATCCCCGGACAATTTATTCACAGCATGTAAAAACAGAACCTGCAGGACAATACATGACTGTGTGGCAAAAATGAATTGGTTAGATAAAAATAAAAGTTTATTTAAAAAAGAAGTATATTTTGTAAAGTGACAGGCTGTCACTCAGGGCATCATCTTGCTCCTTCTTCACCTAAAATGACAAGACAAATGAATCCAAGAGAGCCATATTTTGTGACAATGGTTTCATATACAAATGACCTAACGAAATGCAAAAGTAGATAAACAGCCCCCTTTAAATTTGCAGAAGACTTTCAGGAGGAGACACTTAGGGACAGAGAAGCGGATTGCTTCCCTCCTTCTCTAGCTTCTCCCAACAACTTTTCATTTTGGGGTTTTGTATTTGGCCTCTGGCTCACGCATCTTGCCACTCTCACAGTCCCCATTTCCTGTGCCCAAAGAGCCATTTATCTGCCATCGCAGATGCTTGGATGTAATGTAAATCCCAGCCCCAAGTTAGATAAAATCTTTGTCTTCAGAGCTAGAGTCATCAGGTGAATCACTCTGGCAACTACTCGGCATTAGACTCCAGTCACAGTTGCCACCACCCACCTTGTCCTGCCGCTTCATCACCCCAACCATGGCAGCTGCCACCTCCTGACCAGCTGGAGAAGGAACATTGGGGCTGAGGAACAAGTCTTGTGGTTGCCTAGTCACCCCCTACATAGAATCAATCATAGAATCATAGAGTTGGAAGAGACCACAAGGGCCATCGAGTCCAACCCCCTGCCAAGCAGGAAACACCATCAGAGCACTCCTGACATATGGTTGTCAAGCCTCTGCTTAAAGACCTCCAAAGAAGGAGACTCCACCACACTCCTTGGCAGCAAATTCCAATGTCGAACAGCTCTTACTGTCAGGAAGTTCTTCCTAATGTTTAGGTGGAATCTTCTTTCTTGTAGTTTGGATCCATTGCTCCGTGTCCGCTTCTCTGGAGCAGCAGAAAACAACCTTTCTCCCTCCTCTATGTGACATCCTTTTATATATTTGAACATGGCTATCATCTCACCCCTTAACCTCCTCTTCTCCAGGCTAAACATGCCCAGCTCCCTTAGCCGTTCCTCATAAGGCATCGTTTCCAGGCCTTTGACCATTTTGGTTGCCCTCCTCTGGACACGTTCCAGTTTGTCAGTGTCCTTCTTGAACTGTGGTGCCCAGAACTGGACACAGGACTCCAGGTGAGGTCTGACCAGAGCAGAATACAGTGGCACCATGCTTCCACCTCCCTTCTTAAATGCTCTCCCACCAAACAGGCCCCAACTCAGACCTCAGACTCTTAGCTAGATATGAGTGGCAGTAGCAGGAAATATGCCAGAGTGTTTTCCTGAATCAAGAAGGTGGAGCAGATGATGTTCAGCATTTCAAAAATCTTGATATTGAGGCAGTTCCCCTTGATGAAGGATTCTCCCCTCCCACCCACCCAGCAACCAGTAGTATCCATTTTGGCAACCATTTAGGAGAAGGAATTCACCTTTCTTTCCAGTGAGGAGCACTGGCCCAGATAGTTGCTGCTGTTGTGATCCTAGCATGAACAGTCCCCACCATGACATTTCAACATGTATATTTTTTAATTTCCAAGTGCCCAGCTGTGCTCCTCCCTGACTATAAACAGATTACATGGGGCATACGTGATAAGAGTTTTCCAAACATTGCTTTAGCTGACATTTGATGGTGATGACTTTATTGCAAGAACAAGGCGCTAACCCAAAAACTAGACATGGATGAAGAACGGCGTTTTGGAATTGACACAGGATCATCTTTTCTTTGTCACTGCTGCTCTAAGTTTGGCTAAACCAACAGGCATATTGGAGCGACTTGGATTTTACTATAGCTTCCTCACGAGGTGCTTAGGAACCTTGCAGTAGGGATGCACCTAGATGTGAAAACGACAGAGAAAATGGAGATAATTGTTCACTGGATCTAGAGAGGGCATCAAAGGACTCAATGATTTCCATCCTGCTAGAGTTAGCTTCTTAACTAAGTCCCATCAAAAGCTGTAGGCAAGAGCTGGAGGACCTTTCTCAGCCTGAGGGGTTCTGGGTAACCTCCCACAGGCCAGTGGTGGGCAGGACCAAAAGTAGGAAGAGAAGATGTGGTCTGGGGAGAGTTCTGAGCCCCAGGCAGAGAGACCTGGTGGGCCACATTTAGTCCCAGGCCTGAGGTTCCCCATCCCTGCTATAGGGCCTAAGTTAATCATGACCAGCTTATTCCATTGGCTTCACAGTGGGAACTTCAACTGGTTCATTTAGACCAATAGGTTTGAATCCCAGAATGTGGATAAAACGGACAAATCATCATTAAAGTCAGTTTGGGGGACTGAAAAAATTGTGGAATTCATAGGTGACATTATACATGAACAAGCATAACTTTCTGTTTTTATTCAAATTATCCTTGGGCTGCTTGCATAAGCTTTACAAAGCAGCTGACAATTTATCACCATTTAAAGCTCAAGAAAGCCAGCTAATAGTAATGTAAATTAACACAGAAAATATTGACATACTGTGCCTTTTAAAATGAAAGGAAAGCTTTTAATGTTTGATGCAGGATTTTCCCCCTTTGTATTTTCTTGGAAGCTGCCCAGAGTGGCTGGAGTAACCCAGTCAGAAGGGCGGGGTTTAAGAAATTTATTTTGTTGTTGTTGTCGTTTGGGTTATTGGTCTGTTTTTGTTTTACAGTGGTGCCTCGCAAGATGAAATTAATCCGTTCCGCGAGTATCTTCGTCTAGCGGTATTTTCGTCTTGCGAAGCAACCCTATTAACGGCTTAGCAGATTAGCGCTATTAGCGGTTTAGCGGCTATTAAAGCCTTAGCGGCTTAGCGGATTAGCTGCTAAAAGGCTATTAAAGGCTTAGCGGCTTAGAAAAAGGGGGGGAAGCAAAAAAAAATCTCAAGACTCGCAAGACATTTTCGTCTTGCGAAGCAAGCCCATAGGGAAATTCGTCCTGCGAAGCGCATTGGAAACGGAAAACCCTTTCGTCTAGCGGGTTTTCCGTCTTGCGAGGCATTCGTCTTGCGGGGCACCACTGTATTATGTATTTTATGTTCTTATTTTGTATTTTTCCTGTTGTGAAGCACCCTGGGATGTTTGGATGAAAAGCAGTATACAAATTAAATGAATGAATGAATAAAATTTTGCTGAACTGAACTCAAACAAAATGCCCAATGTAATACATATTCATTTATCTAAACAACGTGTTCCCAATGCTTCTGTCTTCTGACTGTAGGCCAGGAGATAGGATCACACTTCTGGAGGACTCAAATGAGGACTGGTGGAAGGTACGATCGCAATTACCCAAGTAATATGGAAAGAAAGAAAATGAACATTGCATGTGTGTATTGGTCATTAGTGCTGATGCACCAACAGCACGTTCCTTTGCTTCAGTGCGTTGGAGCAACATTTTGTGTGCTTAACTCTGGTCTAAGGGAACACTTTTGTTCCTTGGTAGCCGCTCAGTAGTTGATGTAAAGTAGTACTTTACTGGCAGTGTGGACAGTTCCCCCACACAGAGCACTGAGTTGAGAGGGGGACATAATAAATAAATAATAATAATGCCTATATTTACATGGGTATCTACTGAGAATATCGACAAAAAGCAACTGTACCCAAAGGAATTATTGTGAAAATTAGAAATATTGGGGGGGGGATTTTGTTCTTGCTCAGGGCGTCATATTACCAAAATCTGGCCCTGTTATTGGCATTCTAAGGAAGCCTTTGCAAGGCACAGCAGCAGCAAGGAAGGGACATTGGTTGATGGGAGGGTGGAAGGAAAGTAGGCTTGCCCAGCAGTAACCCCAGAGGCACCTTCAACTGCAACCTCACGCCCCCACCTCCCAAACATCAGCACTGCCTTCTTGGCAAATTACTGCAACAATTTAAGGGCTCTTCCCTTCTTTCTCAATCTGGGGTGCTGATTCAGAGCAGTAGCTGGAACAGAAGGATGCAATCAACCCATCCCCCTATTTGGTGGGAGCATTATCATAACGTGAGAGACAGTGTGGTGCACCAGTTAGAGTCTCTGAAGAAATTCAGGTTCAACTCCCCACTAAGCCACATAGCTGACTGGGCGGCCTTGGACTGGTCACTGTCTCTCAGCTGTAGCTGCCTCACAGGGTAGTTTTGAGGATAAAATGGGAGGAAGGAGAACTACGTACACCACTTTGAATGCCTGTAAAGGTAAAGGACCCCTGACAGTTAAGTCCAGTAGCAGATGACTCTGGGGTTGCATCGCTCATCTCGCTTTACTGGCCGAGGGAGCCGGCGTTTGTCCACAGACAGTTTTTTCCAGTCATGTGGCCAGCATGACTAAGCTGCTTCTGGCGCAACAGAGCACGGAAACCATAGCAGTACATGGAAATGTCGTTTACCTTCCCGCCAGAGCAGTACCTATTTATCTACTTGCACTTTTTGGCGTGCTTTCGAACTGCTAGGTTGGCAGGAGCTGGGACTGAGCAACAGGAGCTCACCCCATCATGGGGATTCGAACCGCCGACCTTTAGATCGGCAAGCCCAAGAGGCTCAGTGGTTTAGATCTTGGAGGCTAAAAATGTAATATATACAAAACAAAATGCAATGCTGCAGCCATGCAGTCCCAGGGCAGTTATGTACCACTCAATACAATGTACTTTGTAAATATTAAATGGAAGGGACATTCTGAGCTCATCCTTCACCCCCAAAGGCCCATGCAAAATGGACCAGATGTCGTAAGGTATACAGTGTGGCCAGACCTCAGAACAGAGGTCATTTCACAGTCTGGGGGCCACCACAGAAAGACCCTCTCATACCCTATCACCCCATGAACTTCATAGGATGGCAGAACTGCCAACAAGGCTCTCTCCATATCTATATAGGAGTAGTAACTCCTTCAGATATCTGGGCTGCATGTCACTTAGTGCTTTCTGCAACAGCATAAATAAACTGAATTTAGCTTAGAAGCACACCAGCAACCGGTGTAAGTCTTTAAGATCAGGCCACTGCCTTCTGTACCAGTAGCAGCAGCTTCCAAACCATCTTCAAGAGCATTACAGCAGCCCATAACTCTTCTTCTGTCATTTCACCTTCTTCACAGGGGAAAATAGAAGACCGAGTTGGCTTTTTCCCAGCAAATTTCGTTCAAAGAGTACAACAAGATGAACATGTCTTCAGGTGTATCAGAACGTTTATTGGATGCAAGGAGCAGGGGCAGATAACCCTGAAAGAGAACCAAGTGAGTAAACGTGGAATTCCTTCCTGTGCATTAAAACATTGCGATCACATCTCTACTTTTCTCATGCTCCATCAAATCCCATGGTACGTACTTCCAAGAGAATGTATTATGATTGGAGATTTGAGATCATGATGCCTAGCATACATACCTTCAAGTATATATGAAATATATGAAAGTATATATGAAAGTTCACACAGTCATGTTCCCCCCTTGATGTTTACAGCACCCATGATAAATTGCAAAATGGATGTCGCCGATTAAGCACCACAAGGGGAGCACTGTTACTGGACACAATACTTTCCACTAGAGACAGTTGTGTGATCTGTGATAGTCAATTATTTACTTGCATGTGCAAATCAGCTGTTCGTTCCAAGGAAGTGGGCTTACATTGAGTCATAATTGAACTGAAAGATACTACCATGGCAAATTATATGGACCTGGGGTTTTTTTATTACTGTTGCTTCCTACTAGCCCATGGCAGTCCAGCTTATGCCAGGCAGTTAAGCAGATTAATAGAAAACTAGTCCATAATAGGACAAGAGTCGTTCACAGTCTCCATTAATTAAAAGCAATGATTAAAAAGCCAGTCCATCTTGCTAGCACCTCCACTGCCTCTCAGTCACAGCAAGTGAAAGTAATTTTCCTTCCTTTTTTTAATATTCATACAAAAAAAGCCAGTTAAGTCAAAATAATGCTATTGGTTGATGCTATTAATGGATTTTGGGGAGGCACTGAGTGAAATGACAAGTACTCTGCCACTACCATGGGAAGAAGGAGCACACAGGACATCAGGTCAGACCACTGGTCAATCTTCTAGCCCTTTTGCGCAATCAGTTTTGGGAGGATACCAAAGTTCAGGGATGGCCGATGAACAAAAACAATGCAGAATACTGCTGTGCACCAAATCAAGCCTTTGGTCCATTTAGCTCAGCATCTGCACTGACTGGTCGTAACCCTCCAGGCTTTCAGACAGAAGACTTTTCCAGCCACACTGGACACTGGACCTGGGATGTTCTGTGTACAAAGCAGGCACTCTGCCCCTGAAGATGAACTTGTGTGATGTGCTCAGAATTTAGGGTTGCCATGTTTCAAAAAGTGAAAATCCGGACACAAAAATTGTTGAGCTTCTTCTGACAAAGTTGTTGTTTTTCTCTCTTTTTTTGGCCAAATTTTTTTTGAAGTTTTTGAGCTGTTTTAAAGGAAATTCACCAAAATCTACACCTCCAGCATGGGTTGCCATACGTCCGGATTATCCTAGACATTTTGGCAATTTCCTCCCAGGAACTGTTTCCAACTGCCAAATCCCAGCTATGCCTGGGAGATTCTGGACGTATGGCAACATAGCTGTCAACCGTCCCTTATCGCGTCGTGTCCCTTATTGATGATGTCCCTTCAATTTCCCGGGTTTCAAAGGAAGCAGCTCCTCTCCCTCCCTGCCTGCCGGCTAGGGAGGAGGGAGGCTCCAACTGTGTTTCTTGGTTGCGTTTCTCACCTAGTAAGGAGTCTAAGAACGACAGGGGGGGTGGAGCTTGCATGCCTTATGCCAATCAAATCAGCTGCATTGCCTGGGGACTCGCCTTTGCTCAGCGCTTCCCAGCAGAGAGGTGACAGTGGTTTTCCTTGAGGCTTCGTTTGGCTGCTGGCTGGGCTTTCTGCCTTTGGCTCGGAGGGGCTCAGAAGTTGAACATACCTGTGCTTGGAAAATCCCTTATTTTGGCTGCTGATCCCTTATTTTCGAGGCTGCTGGTCCCTTATTTTCAAATCTGTAAGTTGACAGCTATGATGGCAACCCTATCAGAATTTGGCGCATTCATTTCATGCGCCAAACGTACTCCATAGTGCTGACCAGCTTGCACGGTAAGACCCTGTGCACGGGCGGATCACTGCCTGTGCCAGCTGCAGTTTCCAGGAGCCTCCACGTGGTGGATCTCAGCCGGCTCACATATTTATGTGACAAACCCATCTGACCACGTTGCGCACATATGAATTTACAGTATAGAGCTGCTTTCTCTTTCTTTGATACAGACATTAGACAACGAAACCACTGAACCAAACTGACTGCTAGGAACACTCATTTGCTAAGCCTGAGGTGGAGTTCCTTGATGTTTTAAAATGGTCCTGAACGTCACAAACAGGAATGTATCCTTGCTCCTTCTTACACAAACTCGCCAGCACATTAATGAGGGTTATATATGTATGGCAAGACGTGCACATACAAACCATAAAATGCCCATTGCAGGAAATGAGGAAGTTTTTATGCACAATGTTATATCAACAGCAGCAATACAAAACATCATTCAGACAGGCAGAGATATTTTTAGTGCCTCCTAATGCATGCTGGGTCGCTTTGCCCAGACAGCAAAGCACTTTGTGTTTATATAGCTTTGTACCCTTCTGCTTTCAAGTAGATAATATAAACCCTTGTAACAAAGCTGGAGCCTGAGAGGGGTAGGAAAGAGCATGGCTTGCCCGCCAACTTTAGGAGGGCCTTGGGGAGAAATGGCACAAAGAACTCCTTCAAAACAAGTGAGCGATGCTCTGAGCTGCCCGAACACTGCAGCCACAGATAGGGACCAGTTCTGCACTAGATCTCCCTGATGTTGTGCTGGGAGTTAAATGCATGACAGATGTGGGAAGAAAGGAACCGCTGAGCCCAAGGCATGGGAAGATCTAGGGAGGTGGTGCAGAGAAGACTTGATTGGCTAGGAAAGATGGGGGGGTCTCTTTTAGACTGAGGCCCACATTTCCAAGGGCCACAGGCCAGTGGTAGATGAGGCCAGAGACAAAACTGAGCAGAGCAACTGGTGTGGCTTACCACTGCACAGCAGGCAACATTCCAGTCAAGCAAAAGCCTGAGGTTTCAACATAACCAGGAAATCAGACAAGGAGGCCTTTGAAGATTGCAAGAGATTTCAGGCCATCTCATTAGGCCTGTTTTGGATTCAGGTGTCCACACACACACACACACACACACACACACCGCAAGGAGCCTCGTGAAACTTGCTTTTGTCTAATCTCTACTTAAGGCACACACCAGTGTTAGAATGGGTGGGAGGAAGGAGAAAATATTGCATTATGTTCATGAGGCTGAATTGGAAAGCACACATTACAAATTTTGCCTGATGGTCAGCTGATAACTAAAGTGGTATTATGCAGGCCCCATTGTTTCTTGTGTGGTTGCCATCCCATTGTCATGGGCTTTGAAATTTGGTGGTCTGTTTCAGCTCAGACCTTACAAAGCATCACCTATACCTATTTAGGTTCCTGAATAGAAGTGGTTATTGAGTGTGGGGTGTTTAAACGTTTCTCTCCATTCTTTGTCTACAGATCTGTATTACTTCAGAAAAGGAACACGACGGCTTTATCAAAGTATGCAGTGGAAAGAAAAAGGGCTTTGTCCCCGTAGATGCCCTAGAAAACATCTGAGTTTTCCCTGTTCAACCACTTCAGTTATGATGCTTTGCTGGCAAGACCTGCCTGCCTCATCTTGCACTGTGTAACCCCCAATGAAGCTGTCTTGCAGATGACCAAGGAAATCATATGACAACCACAATGATCAGTTGATATCAGACATTTAAGCAACAAGAGATGGTTGGTCAACAACAATCAGGAATGGAGCCAGACAAGAGTGGTACAAGGCTTAGGAAAGGAATAGCTTGTTTACTTTTTAAAATAAGTGAAAAGTTAAACTGGATAATTTTTTTGAGCAAGGCTGCTAACTATTACACTGATGGGAACAGAGAACTAAACTTAGATTTGCACCCTGTTCACGTGTCTTAAGAAAACTGGGACTTCTTTCTCATTTGAAGTGTGATTGAATGAGTAAGGGTTCAGACCTTTTCCTTGTATTACTACAGCTTGAAGTATATAGTGTGAGTCTGGTCCTAAAATGTTGTCCATGGTTTTAGCGAATCGGCATAATGTTTGGTTCTGACTTTTTTCCGTTTCAGTAACAAGGCAGTTTGGATGAATTGTGGAGCTGTTGGTTTAGGAAACAGTTTGTGGTCTGGACTTCTCTGTGATTTTTGATATATGTTGCTGTGGCGATCTTGTACGTCCTTTGGGTTTCTTGTATACAAGCAAAGATTTTAGCACATGTTGGATGTAAATGTTTAAACATCTGATGAACAAGCACTGTTTCCCCAAAGCAGGCCTACTCCAAAATAGTCTTTCCTTTTCCTTCTGTAGGAAGGAAGCAGGTCTCAGAAACAAGAAACTGGGTTGCAGAATTTTTCTATTTTTCTGATATTGTTTGAGCATATTTTTTAATATATATGTGTATATAGCATGTTCCTGTTTATATGGTTAACCAATTTCATTTCACAACAGGGGGAAACAGATTCTAGCTGACAAAAAACAATGAGTGGAATAAAAACATACTGAGCTAACACATTTGTGAACAAAAGCAACCAAATTCAAAAGACCAAAGGTGTTAGCAATTCACCTTGAAGCACATGCCAGAAACAAGTTAGGCATATTTCAGCTTATTGACTTACAAGACTTAAGCACGCCTAGTTTTGGAATCTGGCCACAAATGGAAACTGCAGCTATAAAACCAGAATTTCACCCACGGTTTCAAATTGTGGTTCAACGAGCAGTCTAGTCAGACGTTCTGTCTGCATCAAGGAATCATCCTTGAGGCTGTGCAGAAATTACAAGGTACACAAGAATTCAGAGACTTAAGTAACAAGGAATCTATCGTTGCCCAACATTTACTGTTTTAAGAGTTCCAAGCCCCTCTCGTTCTTCTTTTTATAAATCAACTATCTAGAAATTCCCCTTTGAACAAGTTTTACCAGCATGTTTAAAACGTGCACACAATCTCAAAGGCAATATAAACATAAGGGAAGGAAAAGAAGGCGGTGAGAGTTACACTTGTAAAGGATGAAAGGGTTGCAGACAATGGCGATTTCCCCTTAGCCAATTGACCATGGTATCGTGTGTGACAGCTCCACAGAAAATCATGTGCCGCCCTTAAAACACTTCAGCTCTTTGGCTGAAGAACAGGGTTGGCTAACCTGAGGCCCAGGAGATATTGCTGGACTGCAACTCCCATGATCTCTGACCACCAACTCTGCTGGCTGGGGCTGATGGGAGTTGGAATCCAAGAACTTCTGGCAGTTAGCCACAGGTTAACCATCCCTGCTGAAGAAAAACAACAACTCCACAGTTGTACACTTTTGAAAACTGCTTAGCTGGCAGCTCTTAAGCAAGAAGCACGTAGCTGTATTCCAGTACCTCTAAGTACATCTGTTCAACCTTCACCTCTTGCCTTGCACTCCAATCTGTGGCTGAAACCCAGTGCGTATTTGCTACCAGAGATGGTGCAGCTGGGACGTTCATGGCCACTTTTTTGTACTTAGCAAAGGGCTCCTGTGTCTAGCATATACTCAACTCTGCATCCCGGTCCTGCAGTTACATTTGCCGACATGGAAATGCTGAATGTGTGCATGGCTCATCCGTACAACAGGAGCCATATGTGGGCTTATAGGTCCATGTATATATCTGAGTAGCTTGAAGAAGTTTGCCTGTTACTGTATGGAGTAGAATTGGACACTGATGACAACCATTCCATCCATTTTCTAGCTCTTGAACATGTAAATAGTAAAGCCATCCCCCAAAAGAGAAGGGAGATTCAGCTTCATATCTTTTAATATATATACTATATATATATATATATATATATTTGCGATTCCTTTTTTTTTTTTTGCATAGGAAAACCAGGCAACTTAAAATGTAATCCTATGCATGTCTGCTCAGAAGTTAAGTCTCACTGAGTTCAATGAGGTTTACTCCCAGGTAAGTGGCTATGGGATTGCAGCCTTAGTGTTAGGAAACAAAAGTCCCTTATAACAAAGGGGAAGAACAGCAGACGCATTATCGACACAGCCTCTTTTATGTCATGGCTTTATTTGACATTTACTGATCTGAGCAAAGTGGGGTCCTGCAATGCCTGCCGAAAAATCAAACTCAGTGCTATAGTTAGTGTCTTCTGATCCGCAAAGACTAGGTCAAATTATACATCCATCCATACATGCTACTGTTTACTTGAATGCAACATACTGTGATTCTGTCCTGTTTCAGTGGCTTCTGTTAATTTCAAGTTCCTCCTTCAATCCTGCTTCATAGGATAAAGATGAATATTACTTTCAGTTCACAATGGCCTTTAATCAACGTCTCATTTCTTTTGATACTAAGCAATAAAATAAAGATTTTTTGTAAGAAAAAAATCCCTGAATTAACCATACTGTTATAAACTGATGCATATCACTGTTCTCGTGTTCCTTTGGTTCATCAAAGAGGCTTGTGTTAGTGCTCAGCTATTTAATGTTAAGCAGGTGCCTGAGGCAGCCACCTCGCCTTGCCTCATGGGTGGGCTGGGCCTACAATTGCAGATAACGCAGTAAGGAGAGAAAAAATCCAACATGCATGTTACGTGCTAATACATCCCCGCCAAGCACCACCCACTGATGTGAAAGAGAAAAACAGAGTTCACCTGAATGCTCGTGTGTGGATGAAGGTGCACATCAACGTACACAGGAAAAATGGATCTGTGTGACGCACATGCACATTAACACACTGGTGTGTCCCCAGCCCTCGTGTGTCCCCAAGGCAAATGCATCTAGAGCAGCAGGATGTACACAGTGGACCTTGGTAACATTGCAAATTAGTGCCTCACAGAGGGTTTTATTCTCTTCCCTTTGCCCTGCATGTGTGCAGTTACAACAGATATAGCACTAACAAACTGATTAGTTTTGGATAGACGAGCTTTCGTGTGACACTGGATCACAGGAAAAATTAATTTCAGAGGCTAGATGTTTGCATCTAATTTAATATGCTGTTTAATAAAGAACCCACAGTCACTGGAAAGAGAACATGCACTTTGTCCTCTTCATTAGATAGGAGAGTTCTCTTAGAGCGCACACTGCCGCCTCCTTCCCAGAAGAACACAGAATACATCTTCCAACTCTAAATGCTGCTGAACCTGTTTTTCCTCTCACTGGGTTTTGTCATAGTGTGGGCCTTTGGTACATGCAACCGAACATGTTTTGACTGAGCTGCTCAATTTATATCAGCACATTTTGCTTAAGTAGCCACAAAGGACCTCCTTTTACAATGAACTTTGCAATGCACAATTAAGATGGGGACATGTATTGCTGCTGTCACTATGTCACCCCAAAAGGCTTCTCCTTTGCCAAAATACTTTGTCCTTATCTAGTGACATCAGCTAAGGTCTACTTTGTAACATACTGTCTACATCATCAATTAGCAGAGCAATGATAATGGATGCTCATCTGATCAAACATGTATTCATCTCTCTTTTAGGTTCTGCTCATTTTCAATTTACAGGGTGCAATGATAAACAAAATACATTAGCTTTTTCTTAAGCATAGTGTTTGGCATACCCTATCACTTGATAATCTCCACAATCTAACCAGGGCCAGTGTCAGAGAATGAGCCACCTGAATCACTGCTGTCTTCTCTTCATGATGATTGTGGCTGATCTCCCTGTCTCCCCCTCACAGCTTACTTTCCCTAGACCCACTCTATGACTTTTCTTCACACTTATATCATGCCCTCACCCTCCAACATTTCTCCAATGAAGGTAAAGGTAAAGGACCCCTGACAGTTAAGTCCAGTCGCAAACGACTCTGGGGTTGCAGCGCTCATCTCACTTTACTGGCCAAGGAAGCCGACGTTTGTCCGCAGACAGTTTTTTCCAGGTCATGTGGCCAGCATGACTAAGCCGCTTCTGGCAAAACCAGAGCAGCGCACAGAAACACTGTTTATCTTCCCGCCAGAGTGGTACCTATTTATCTACTTGCACTTCAACGTGCTTTCAAATTGCTATGTTGGCAGTAGCTGGGACTGAGCAACAGGAGCTCACCCCATCGCAGGGATTTGAACCGACGGCCTTCTGATTGGCAAGCCCTAGACTCAGTGGTTTAGACCACAGCGCCACCCGCGTCCAATGAAAATAGGGGTGTCCTATTCCTTATTATTATTATTATTATTACCCCGCTCATCTGACTGGGTTGCCCCAGCTTCCAACATATATAAAAACATAATACAACATTCCGGGATCAAATCAGAAATCGGGATGGCATCTGTAAATCCAGGACTATCCCTGGAAAATAGGAACATTTGGAGGGTCTGTTATATGATAGCAGCAGCGGTGTGGCCCTCCATCATCTCACTCTAGGAAGGGCCAAAAGGCCCCCTTTTTTGGAGCCACCAGCCTCTGCTTCTGCCTCTGATTCTGGACTGCTCTCTGCCACAGCCTCTTCCTGCTCACTAAACCCTGTTGCCTCTTCAGCTTCTGACCCTTCCTCCTCCTTGTCTGCTTCCTCTTCTCCCTCTGAACACTCCCCTGGTTCTGAGCCTTCTTCCCCTGCAGCTCAGGCCTCCCACCACTCCAGTGCATCCAGCCAGACCACAACACATACAGCGGCAAAGTTGTGAACAGGTGGAGTGATTTTTAAGAGGGAAATCAGTGAGAGGAGAGGTGGTAGTTTTCTTCAAATGCTCTCCCCCTAACTGTGATTCCGGAAAATGTGGTTGCTCTTCCAAGGAGCCCCAACCTGCCTCCACTGATGTTTGGAAATCTCATGTGCTAAATTAAAATATTTTGTACATCTAACAAAAAGACTATGAAACCTTCCCAAAACCAAACATTTCTGTTTCAACCGTGGTATGTTAATTTAAATGAAGATCCCCTTTACATCTTCATGGTGTCTCAGTACTAAAATGTTAGGTTGTTGGCACAAACCCGTTAGCACATTTTAACACCTACTCCATTTGCCGTATTTCAGCAAAGTATAAAATGCTGGACAAATAATCATTTTCCTAAGTGGAATGTACTGTCAGCACATCCTCCATGGTTAACTACAAAAATAAATCATCCAGCAAGTCACCAGCCCATTGTTATTTTAAATCCATTTATAAACACTGATAAATAGCAGCAAGTAAAGTCTACAACTGAGCCAATGTTGTTCAACAGTCCTCTAAACGTGGGATGTGATTGGGTCAATTAGGGCTAAAAGCCAGAAAGAAAGCCAGGAGAGCAGAGATGGAAAAGGATAGACTTAAGAAAAAAGGATACACACAACAAAAACAAGAACTTCTAATTCTGTGTATTCAATTGCATGCCCAAATCAAATAATCCCCATTTCCCACCCACCAGCTGCAAAAGACTATCCTTATGGTGAATGCCTATCTGGGTCACCAATACAAGGAATACCTCAGTGAATCCTCCCGATGATTAGGGATTTGTGTGTGATTGGAATGTCCCTGCTAAACAGGGACATCCCCAGAATGTTCCTTCGGATACCAGCCTTGATAGCTCAGTTGGTGTACAGCATGAGACTTTTGATCTCAGGGTTGTGGGTTGGAGCCTCACGTTGGGCAAAAAGTTTCCTGCATTGCAGGAGCTGGACCTGATGACCTTCGTGGTCCCTTCCAACTCTTAACAGTTCACTGGTTCTAGGTATTCTTTAAAAGCAGATTGAGTAGACATAAAACATCTGCAGGAAAAACAAAAGGCAGACGAAAATGGGCTTCCTGCAGTATAAAGTAAAACCTAGATAGCTTGTAGTAAGGACAAATGGGACCTGCAACAAAATCTATCCATGAGGGATCCTTCCTTCCAGGATTCTGGCCAGCCAGTCGTTGCATTTTTCAGGACAGTCCATTTCCCATCCCCGGCTTTCGGGAGTTTCTCCTCCTCTCCAACAGCATCTCACAGATGCTTGGGACAGTGAAGTCAGTGGGTTCCATTCACACAGCAGATTTCCACTTGGATTTGGATTTGATATCCCTCTTTATCACTACCCGAAGGAGTCTCAAAGCGGCTAACATTCTCCTTTCCCTTCCTCCCCCACAACAAACACTCTGTGAGGTGAGTGGGGCTGAGAGACTTCAGAGAAGTGTGACTGGCCCAAGGTCACCCAGCAGCTGCATGTGGAGGAGCGGAGACACGAACCCGGTTCAGCAGATTACAAATCTACCGCTCTTAACCACTACACCACACTGGCTCTCTGCAGCCCTGGAGCAGATTTTGAGGGTACGTGGGGAAAGGGGAGGAGGAGGAGGCCCAGTCGCATGAGCAGCATTTTCATGCAGCATTGGGTATAGCTCTATACAGGGGTGCCAACTTGAATAAAATATTGTGGGGGGGGCAGGTAAGCCCCACCCTGCATAATCAATCACATGATGCTGTGCACACACATCATTTGAATGGCAGTGCCCATCATCTTGGAAAGAGCCCGACCCCCCAAATATTTTATTGGGGGGTAAAGCCCCCACAGGCCCTAGGAGTTGGCTCCTATGGCTCTATATTTGGAATGGGGAGTGCCCTCCTGTCCTTTGCTTCTGACCTTACGGCTCTATGTTTTCCTATGTCTTTGTGCTACTCTAGGTCCATGGCCTTTGCAGGGAGTGAGACTACTCAAAATATTAATTATGTGACAGCAAAGAGCTCTGGGCTGCTTTCTCTGCTTAGAAAAGCCATCCTTTGCTGTGCTGTAGGTTAAAAGCTTCACTTAAGGTTTGTTTGTTTCAATCCTACATTGTGCTGCTTTAATATAAAAAAGCTGAGCTCTTCAGAACTCTGCAGGCATTAAGGCTGAGAAAGGCTCATAGGGCTTGAAGGTAGCGGAGACTGCCCGAGACCTCTGGAGAGAAATGATGGGCTCTCCAGAAGAACAACACGAAAAATTGATTGGCAGGCAGAAGGGCAATTCATGGCTCTATATGCCTGGGGGGGCTTAAGGTAGTGGTCAGCAAACTTTTTCAGCAGGGGTCCGGTCCACTGTCCCTCAGACCATGTGGGGAGCCGGACTATTTTTTTTTGGGGGGGTGAACAAATTCCTATGTCCCACAAATAACCCAGAGATGCATTTTAAATACAGTGGTACCTCGGGTTACATACGCTTCAGGTTACATGCGCTTCAGGTTACAGACTCCGCTAACCCAGAAATAGTGCTTCAGGTTAAGAACTTTGCTTCAGGATAAGAACAGAAATCGTGCTCTGCCCGCGCGGCGGCAGCAGCAGGAGGCCCCATTAACTAAAGTGGTGCTTCAGGTTAAGAAGAGTTTCAGGATAAGAACGGACCTCCAGAACAAATTAAGTTCTTAAGCCGAAGTACCACTGTAAAAGCACACATTCTACTCATGTAAAAACATCCTGATTCCTGGACAGTCCGTGGGCCGGATTTAGAAGGCAATTGGGATGGATCCAGCCCCCGAGCCTTAGTTTGCCTACCCATGGGCCTTAAGCAAACCAATAAGAGGGTTGTTTTGTGTTGTGCGAGTTGCATGGTGGACAGGGAGAGGGCGGGGGGGGGGAGAGAGAGCTGAGCTCATGTACTGACGGAATCTTCAAGAACTTATCTCCGGGATTTAAAAGTCTGTAAACTGCTGGCATCTATTCTCCAACTACCTGGGGGATATTTGAACTTCACACAGAGCGGTGGAGCCAGCTGCCTCCCTGCACCATCGGCAGGGTGCAAATTTAATTAATAGACCTCTAAGCTTGGAGGATGTAACAAGGAAGGAAGCTTGGCATTTCCCTGATCAAACAGATATGAGCATCTGTGATGAATGGCTGGGGCTCCAATTGTGGTGGAAAATGTACAAGGCAACCTGGGACACATAAAAGGCAAAGTGATGTGTCAATTTGTAGTCAAGTGTGAGCAATAAAGTCTGACAGACCATTACTCAGCTTAGATGGTACCGGAGACTGGAGAATCCTGATTTTTGCCTCAAGGGGGGAACAGGGAAGAGGAGATAGAGAAAGGGCATGTAAATCAGTCACATTCCATTTGTAAAGAGGAAGATCATAATTACTATGGTCCTTTTGCCTGCTCTTTGCAGCTGGCTGAGAGCGCTCCCGACGAACGGCCAGGGGCAATAAAACTCATCAGTACTAAATCGATTAGAACCACTAATGCAGCGGACTGAGACTGAGCATGAGGCACCAGTGAAACATGGTCTAACATCCGCATCAGAGCTCATGCACCACCATGACGGGCAGCTCAGGCGATGCTATAACTCTGTTCAGGGCTACCAGGACTCCATGAGCAAGGTGGCTTTGAGAACAGATACGCAGATTTTTAAAATTAGATTTACACTCCAGCTTTTCTTGCAAAGAGCTGAAGGAATGGTACATTGGTTTCTTCCCTCCCCTTCCCTCAAAACAACCCTAGGAGGTAGGCTAAGGCTGAGAAGGAGCAACTGGTCCAAGGTCACCCAATTCGCTCCTTCTTTGCTGTTCTGTGGCTTTTTGCCATCACATCTTTAAACTTATCCTGCCAAGCGCAAGCACTAGAAACTTTGCTGGTACTGAGCCTCTCGGGATTTGAGCAAGCATGTGGTGTGGTGGTTGGAATAGGACCATGGTTTGAATTCCTATTTGGCCAGGAAGCTCCCTGGGTGATCTTGAGCCAGTCACTGTGTTCAGCCCGCCTCACAAAGCTGTTGTGCAGTTAAACAGAGGAGAATCACATAAGCTAGCTTGAGCGCTCCTTGGAAAAATGCTACTACATAGGTAAGGATTCTGTTGTTATATTTATAGAGAAGCCGTAAACTTGAACTATGCTGGAATTTCTAGCAAAGAAAAGTAGGCTCGTTTTCAACCACCCATTAATGAAATCTAGTTTTGCCCTGCAGCCCCATTCTGAACAAAGAATAAAGTCTTTTCAGTTATTCATTTAATTTGAAGCAACCCATTTAATTAACATTTGCTACCAACACATCTGAGTTTTCTTGAAGAACTCCGAAACATTCATTACTCTTTCCTTTCTTCCTGGAATGATTGAGGCATATGGAAGGCTAGATGAAAGATCTTTGTTGGGGCAACTTATTACTTTCCTGTCTGTCACGGTGGTCAAGGGAATGAAAAGTCATTAATCACCTATCAAGGAAGCGGATTAGAGTTGCCAAGGATTTTAAAAGGGATCATCAAACCATGGCAATTAACTCAAATGAATAAGACAACGTCAGGCTGGTTTTTGAAAACCAGTGAGCAAGTGATAGGTAACAGATCTTGACTGATAAGAAGAAAATTGATGCAAGACATTTCCTTGCCGAATAAAATGGGGAAAGGTGAAATAAGATGGGGTGAAAGAAAAATGAATAGTACTTCTGTTTGTCAACCTGGGCTTTTTGGTGTCTTAAAACAATCAGCAAGGGAGTGCTTATTTCCCAAAGTGGCTGGGGAAACCCAGCCAGATGGGCAGGGTATAAATAATAAAATATTAGTATTAAATTATTAAAGTTACCCCATAAATGTTATCTATTTATACCCACCCATCCTCCAAAGAGCTGAAGGCAACAAAACACTCTGCCCTTTGTTTATGATGTTGTTGTTGTTTAGTCGTTTAGTTGTGCCCGACCCTTCGTGACCCCATGGACCAGAGCATGCCAGGCACTTCTGTCTTCCACTGCCTCCCGCAGTTTGGTCAAACTCATGCTGGTAGCTTCAAGAACACTGTCCAGCCATCTCGTCCTCTGTCGTCCCCTTCTCCTTGTGCCCTCCATCTTTTCCAACATCAGGGTCTTTTCCAGGGAGTCTTCTCTTCTCATGAGGTGGCCAAAGTATTGGAGCCTCAGCTTCAGGATCTGCCCTTCCAGTGAGCACCCAGGGCTGATTTCCTTAAGAATGGAGAGGTCTGTTCTTCTTGCAATCCATGGGACTCTCAAGAGTCTCCTCCAGCACCATTTGTTTATACTCAACAACAATCTTGTGAGGTAGGTTAGGCTGAGATGTCATGATTGACCAAGCTCCCTCAGCACCCTTCATGGCTTACTGGGGATTTGAACCTGGGTCTTCCTAGCCCTAAACTATCACTCTAACCACAACCATCTGTGAGCAGCCACAAAGAACCACGTCAGCCATCACCAGGGAGTACAGCATTTGCCCCAGCCCCTGAACAAGCAAGACAGAAATTCACGTGCCCTTGTTGATTTGAGAAATCAATTGCCCTATTTGTATATGATGGCATATTTACATTACGATGCATATTCAAATCCAAAAGAAAAGATGGAAGCGATGTGTGGTACCTCATCTGACTTGCAAGGTGGATACAAATGCACTATAGATGGATGCAGATTCCCGGTCTCTAAATCTTAGTTGTATGCAGAGGCTATTTGTTGCCCATCTGCATCAAGCTTATAGGACTATCTGTCCAGGGCTCGTTCAAGACATTTCAGTACTCTGGACAGAGGCCTAACACTACTAGCCTGACTTTAACCCTTTCTCCATCACCATCCTCACCCACAAAAGAGCAGCAAGATTTAATGAGCTTCGAGGTACTTTCTGTTACTCAGCAATTCCACCCAGATAGTCCAGTGTTCATAGCAAATCCATGTTCTTTAGGTGAAATCATTCCATTCAAGAAGTATTGACT